AGTGGGTGGGTCAGGATCCCAGGCCACGCGTGCTGCCGCTGGCTTTCCGTGACAACCAAGAGCGTCTAGAATTATAGGGACCAGGGTTTTCCCCTCGGACAGAAACAAAGGTGCTCCGCCAGCGCGCTCAGTTCGCAGGGCCAGGGGACAGTCCACTCTGCAGAGCTGCTGGTGTGGCCCGCTGCAGCGCTGGTCTCGCGCAGGCGCACGCAGCCTCGGTGCAGGCAGCATTTCAGGCCAGGCCATTCTCTGCCGCGGGGGCTGTCCTGGGCGTCGTAGGCTGCCAGCATTCTTGGCCTTGACCCACCAGATGCCAGCAGCTCCCCTCACCCTGCTGCGACAGCCAAAACTGTCTGCAGGTGTGGCCAGACATCCTGGTTAAAAACCTCTGCTCTAGAGAAGCTCTCTGCGGAGCTCTCGCCTGTCGGGTGCCAGAGCTGAGGCAGTCGTCCTCCTTGTAAAAATTAAAAAGAAAGAAAGAAAGAAAGAGAGAGAGAGAGAGAGAGAGAGAGAGAGAGAGAAAGAAAAGGAAAGAAAAGGAAAGAAAAGAAAAGAAAGAAAAAAGGCTCACGTCGCTGCCTGCCCAGTGCTTGGGGGGTTAGGCGGAGGCCATCCAGCCCTTTCAGCTAACCCCAAATGGAGTCACACAGCAGAGGCATTGTTTTCTGGCTTACGTACCTGTCTCCTGTCCCCTGACCTCCCCGCAGGACCAGAAGCGACTTTCCATGCAGAGGAGGCTCGCAGAGTTTGGTCCCGTCTGCTCTCCGGTGGGCCTGGGGGGCAGTGTCCAGGGCCTGCCAGGCGGGCGTGGCGCTGCCATCCCTCTGTCTGTCTGTCCTTTTTCCTTTTTAAATGTGGACATTTCCTCGTCTGTGCAGATAATTTTCCAGAAAAGCCGTCTTCCAGGGCTGAGATGCAGGTCAAGCAGCCAGTACTGATTCAGCCTCAGAGTCCTGTGAGCAGACCTCAAAGCCAGAGGTGACATGGCTTTCGGGTGGACTCCGCACGTCCTGCTTTCCAGGTTGAGTTGACTCGCTTCGGGAAGGGCCTTCACACCCACATGTGTGGGGCATTTGATGAACAGGGTCCCCACTCCTCCCTGTGCCTGGGATGGGGGAGGGGGTTGCAAAATTCCTGGAAGATTGCCCAGATGTTAATCCTAGGATCTCACATCTTACCTGCCTTCTTAGCACCCAGCCAGCAGGGAAGACCTCTCCTTTTGTCCCGACAGCCAGTCCCTCGGCCTCCGCTCTTGCACACCCCCAGTGGTGAAGAGCTCACTACCTACTAAGAAAGCCAGTGCACCGTCCCCAGTGTTCCTGATCACCTGCTTTGTCATAACCGGGGCCCAAATCTGGTTCTGGCCTCTGCAAACACACACAGCAGTTCAGCGCTGTTCCTCCAGGGCAGCGTTTAATCGCATTAGTTCTCTCTGTGGCTTGTTCCTCCCGCTCAGTCCTTTGGCCATTTTACTGCATGACCTCTAGGCCCCTCCTGCAGGTACCCTACCAGGAGGTAACCGGATGGCCTGGGCTGACCGGTGGTGGGGCTCACCCTGTGAGGGTAGGGAGGCTGCCCCTTTGTATCCCAGAGTCTGTCCACGCCACGGAAGTGGCACTGGCATCAGGGACAACTGCGTGACTAGTGGGGACTTAGGCAGAGACTTGTGACCTTGAGCAGCTGGTGCACCACACCCCCCCAGCCCATCCCAAACTTCCCGCACGTGAATGCTGCCTGTAGTCGGCCCTGATCATTTGGGTCCCCGCATTCCGCCTGTTATATTCATCCTGCGTCTTCAGTCTTTGACTTTCCCTGGGGACTGGGCATCACGGGCCAGTGAGTCACTGCACGTGGAGGGGACGGGACAGGAGTGACTCCCTCGGGCTGGACGAGACTCCGTGCGCCCGCCCTGCCGGCCGAGGGAGCTTTGTCGGCACTGGGGCTGGGTCCCTCACGCGCACAGCGCGGGTGCTCCTGTCCTCCTGTGCTTGTCACAGGATCTACTCTGTGTGTGGCTTTCCCTCAATCTGGTCAGCTCCTGACCCCATCAGAAAACAGGAGGGAACGAGGCTGGCCCAGCAGGGTGTGTTGCTAGCGAGCTCTGTCGACGTCTGACAGCGGCGGCCTCCTGTTGCAGACCGCGTGAGCGTCTAACACCTGCCCCCGCGTGTCGGCCGGCTCCAGGGTCCCCAGGCTGTCGTGTCAGCAGGCGGGCTTGTCGCCCTTAGTGATAAGTCAGGGTGAAGTGTGCGTTTCACTCGCACCTGGGCTGTTGTCCGTGGTTCTTCAGACAAAGCCCCTGGCACAGGGGTGCCAGCGGGGCCGTGTGCCCGTCGGGTCCATGGGCTGTCCCCTCCGCAGTCGGCTGTCTTGTCCCCGTTGGGACACCTAGCCCTGCCTCTGAGGAGCGCTTTTTTGTTCATCCTTTTAAGGTTTTTATTTATTTCTAGAGAGAGAGGAAGGGAAGGAGTAAGAAATGGAGAGAAACATCAATGTGTGGTTGCTTCTCGTGCCCCCAGCTGGGGACCTGGCCCGCAACCCAGGCACGTGCCCTGACCGGGAACTGAACTGGCGACCCTTTGGTTCGCAGGCTGGCGTTCCGTCCATGGAGCCACGCCAGCCAGGGCTCGGGCGAGGCTTCCGCAGCGCGGCCTGCTCTCGGAGGCTGCTCCACCACGCACCGCGTCCAGGGCTGTGCCGCGGCTGTCACGGCCGTGTCCCGTCTGACACTGCTGGCTCTGTGTTATGAAGTAGGGTGGCCCTGGTGGTCAGGTGGAGGGGGCGAGGGGAGGAAGATTGCACAAAATTTAGGAAGATTGTACAGACCATACCAGTTGGGGAGGTTGAGGCACAGTGGGCAGTGGGGGCAGTCGGTTGTGTTTCGAAGGCCCATGTGCTTTGGAAGTGGTCATTTTCTTGCCCGACACAGTATGAGGACCTTCAGTAATGACCACAGATCTGCCAAATCATTTGCCACCGTATTTTCCTACGGGCAAAGAAGCCACCTTGGAGGAGCTGGTGGGTGACTCTCCCACCCTGAGTGGAGAACCTCCTGCCACACAGGGAAGAGCAGTACCTGCATGAGAAGGTGTATGGCGCCCTCTAGTGGCTTACACGAGGAAATGCGTAAGCACGCTCCCTTTTCCACTGACGGTGGACCAGGCCCTTGTTGAGTTGAGGAGGGGTAAAGTTAAGGGCCAGAGATCCCCCATGGTTACACACACCACCACCACCACCACCACCACCACCACCACCACCACCACGCCCCCCCACCTCCACGTCCCCGTCCCCAAACTGGTTCCTTGGTCAAGGTCGGCAGGGGCAGAGACTGTTGGTTCTCAGTCTGGCTGCACATAGAATCGCCTGAGAGCTTGGGGGAAATCCCAGTGCCCAGGCTACGGCCTAGACCCGCTACATCAGATCTCAGGGGTGGGACGTAGGTAGTAATACATTTTTAAGTTTCCCAGGCGATTCCACTGTGCAGCCACCCTGGAGGCCCCCAGTGCAGCTGACTTCAGAGGGGAGAGACCTGGTACTGTGGAAGGGATTCATAAACTCCGGCACATGCCGTAGGGCAGAGCGACATCAGTGTTTTGTTTATAAAGTTTGCAGTGGGGATAATCCTTTTACATCAGTGTGTTGAGTGAATGGTCACCTCCTTGGCCCCTCATCTCCCCCAAGTACCCCCCCACCCCCCGCCAAGATGAGCAGCATCAGTGCCACAAGGCTGTTAGGCACTTGGCAGTGGGCTCCAGACACATATGTATCCCATGTCTTGCAGGTGTCCCACTGTTCATGGATCGTGTTCTATTCATGCATGTGTGGTGCAGAACACTCCTTAGGGGAGAAATGTCAGCCTGCATATTTGAAGACAGATGAATACATTTGTATATATTGAGGGCATGGAAGGCAAGTGGGAGTGAGAAAAGCAATGTGCTGACCAGAGGTTCCACGGGCAGGTAGGTGGGAAGTGGAGAATGCAGGCCGGGACTCAGAGTTCTCTGGGCTGATGCTGCCCTCTAGCGGGGAAGAGCCACAGCCAACCTGAGCCTCTCTGCACTCCAGCCACTTGAATGGACTGTTAGTCCATCCCTGAGAAGTGTCTTTATCCTCTTTGTTCCTGGCTTTATCTCCGGGAGCTGGAGGGCTGCCAGTGCTTGGGAAGCATCCACCAAACTGAAACTTAGTCCAAGAGGTAGAGACTGCGGGTTTCAATGTGAGCGATTTTTCTGAAATGATCCAAAAGATTGGTGCAAAACTCTAGGCACTGTATCCATCGGCTACTATAAGCACATGCCTAGTACCAGCTTTGTAAGTCCTGTGGACAAGCCTAAGTCCTGAGCCGCTGCTAAAACAACAATAGATAGCAACTCCAAAACCCGGGGAAGCTGTAAAACTGAAATGAGTAAATACCTAGTCAAATGTTCTCAAAGTACGTACTGTTATGTCAGCTTTGATACTTGTGAAATTTAATGCCCATAAACATTTCTTCACATTTGAAAATAATTTGTAGCTTCAATTTTTCTTGCTTTACAAAGATACCTGCATTTGCACAGTGAGTGCTGAGACATCTCAGTCTACCATAAATTAAACAAATTACAGAACACCAAATAAATGAAAAAGCAAAATTCTCTCAAAAATGTTTATGACAGGAAAAAAAATTGTTCAATGGCAGTGTGTCTGTATTTTAGCATGTTTTATGTGATGCAGGGGTAGAGTCCTCCAAGAGTAGGTGTACTTGGGGCCCACAAGTATTTTAAAGTGGCCTACCAAAATATTACAGAAGTCCTGAATAGTACCGAGTGCTTCAGTAGAGTTTCCAGAAATTAGAAATACAAGCTTTCCCCCTCTTGGATTTTTAGACTGATTCCTGCAATGCCATGTGTAAATCAGACATCTCATATGATTGATGTAAAACAGTTTTCCTAACCTTTGATGGTTTTGTTCATTGAATGACCTCTGTCTTTTTTAATCTAATCTTTGTTTCATCTTTTTCTCAGGAATCCTGTTCACGATGCTGGTATTTGGACCAGCCTGTGGATTTATCCTGGGCTCCTTCTGTACCAAAATCTATGTGGATGCTGTCTTCATTGATACAAGTAAGGCATATCCCCCAGCTTCTGAACACCATCCATAAGTCTTTCCTGCCCGCCTTGTAAGAGCACCATCAGCCTGTGGGTTCTGGGACCTTCCTGCTAAGTGACAGCCTTAATGCATGCTCGCCTGTGGTGTGGGTGGCCCACCTGAGATGAGAAGGAAGGGGCAGGAGTTGCAGGTTCCAAGGGCCTGGGCTCAGGCCTGTGTTCTGCCAGTACCTGCTTGGAGGCGGAACAGCTCCCTGTGGTTGATTTTAGCCCTCACCTGTAAGTGAAGGGGAATGGTGATTGTATCTTCCTTGCAGGCCATTGTAAGAATGAGTGAGAGCCTAGGTGCGGGCATGCCTGGCGTGCACACGTACTCACTGAATGCTGGTCCGTTAACCTACACGAGGACCCCACTGTTTAAACTGAAAGTTGGAGCAAGTGTTCTGGAAGTGAATGTGTGCATGTGGGCTCAATGAGACAACGTTTGAAAGTCTTTCCTGTGTGACACTTGTTGTGGCGGCCTTCAGAAGGAAGCAGTACCACGTCTCAGAACTGATTCGGACACCTTTTGTGTTCTTAGCTGGAAGACCACATGTACTTCTCAGGTTGCTTCAGGCCCCCCAATTCCTTCGCACACTGTGAGCAGTCCGGCGGTCAGGACGGGCTACGTCATGCAGCACTAACAAAGAGTTCCCAGTCTGAGTGGTTTTACACGACCAACATGCTCCTCAGTCACACTGCATGTCCAGTGCAGGTCGGTGGTGCTGGGGAGGGCGATGCTTGGCTCACTGTGGTCACAGAAGTTTCCCTTGATCCCAGCCCACACAGTTGTCAGAGCAGGAAGGCAGACAGTTGCAAGTTGGCAAGTTGTGCTCTCACTCTGGAAGCTTCTGCTCAGAAATGACTCATTGTTTCTACTCACATTTAAGTGGCCAAAGCAAGTCCCTTTGTGCATTAGTTTTCTATTGCTGCGTAACAAATTGCCCCAAACATAGTGACTTAGAACAATAGGCACTTGTCTCAGTTTGTGTCTGTGGGTCTGGGGTCCAGGAGCAGCTTCGCTGGTGGTTCTGGCTCAGGGTCTTGCGTGAAGCTGCAGTCAGCGTGTCGGCCTGGCCTGCAGTCACCTCACAGCTCACCTGGAGAAGGTCCGCTGTCTAGCTCTCTGCCGTCGGCCCTTGCCCTGGGCTACCTGCGTTGACGTGAAGAGCCCGAGAGAGGGCAAGAGAGAGACCCTGCGACACGAGTCACGGTCTCTCTAACCCAGACGCGACACCTCATTGCTTCTGAGGCATCCTGTGTGTGAGACCCAGGCCACTTTGGTCTGGACTCAGGAGAAGGGATTATTATGCGGCTGTGAATGCCTAGGGGCTGGGATTGTTGGAGATTATCTCAGTCACTGTCTGCCACAGACGGTCACACCTCTACCTCAGCCCCAACGAGAATGTTGCATTCCTGGGCCGTTAAGCCAGGAGGGAAGCCGCGTTTCCTTTCTCTCTGAAACAGTGTGAGGGAAGCAGTTCCAGCTGCTTCTCCTTGTTGCCCATCCATCTTCGGGATCAATGAGAACCCCTAGTCCCCACATTCGCCATCCATCATGTCCCGACAATGCTAAATTTACTAATTCATCCCAAAGAAATGCGGCTTTAAATCCAATCAAGTCACTTGGTGATTCGCTCCATTAATCCCACTGATGTATTTACTTGTAGTTAATGATGTTACAAATTTCCTAGAGGGGGGAAAAATACTCAAACTCAGGCTTATTTATGTATCCTTTTGAAGTGCTGGGTCTGCTTGGGAGGTGGTTGAGGGCTGCCATTGTGTGGGAGTTGGTCGGCCCTTTGAACCGTATTTCCGAGTGAGATGAAAGTCAGAAACAACACAGGAAGCGAGTCAGCTGCCATCTCAACTTATGTGGACAAAAACCAGAAAGCCTCACCGGAGGCCACACAAGACAGGAATGGCAGACGGGTCGGGGAGGGCGCGCACCCCCGGCGTGTGCGACAGGGATGCCACTGAGGAGGGGCGCCGCGGGGCAGGCCGCACACTTGCCTGGGCCCTGAGCAGCGGCCCCCTCGAACTGCGGCCTGTAGAGACCCAGAATCCGAACCAGAAGGAACCCCGCCGTCATTCTTGTCCAACTCTCTCATGATGCAAGTGAGGAAACCGAGACCGAGAGATGGGCAGGGATATCCCCGACCCACGGGGCGCGTCTGCATAGACCCAGGAGTCCCGAGCCAGTGGGGGGCTTTCCCTCTTCAAGAGCCCCTCACCGAGCCCCTCCCAGAGGACCAGGGTGGACGGGTGGCGGCAGGGACCCAGCTGCCCCCTCACGGCCGCCGCAGCGTGCCCTGCCTCGGCCCCGGCTGTGCTCGCTGCATCCTGATCATCGCCTTCCATCCGTGCAGGCCCAGTGCGAAGCCGCCCCCTCCGTGGCTCCTCCCCAGGCTCACGGGTAGTTCAGACCCTCCCCCCGCCCCCATGAGTAGGGCACTGAGCACATTTCCCTTCCGTCTTGCTGACAGCAGCCTTCCCCTCAACAAGTCAGTAGTGGCCTCCGACCTGCCGTGTCTCAGGAATGGGAGGATGCCTTCTGAGTCGCTCCCTCTCTTTGTCTGCATCCCCTCCGAAGGCCACAGTGTGCCGGTGCTGCTCCTCACCAGCAGAGGGCAGGAGAGTACAGTTTACGCTGCTGGGGAGCCAGCCCCAGAATTCTGAAGTCCCCAGCAGTTTTTAGTTTTCTATCCTGTGACTGAAACTTGTTCTGTCTGGGAACGGATTGGGGCTGTGTTTTAAGGAGGGGGTTCTCAGTTCTTTTAGGGACAACCCCTGACTCTCCCCTCCTCTCCAGCTAAGGCAGAGCCCCCTTGTAGGACTGTCCAGTCTGGGGGAGCGTGTCCTCAAGCGTGACCATACAGGGGCCCTGCACACTGCCACAAGGTTCTGAAATTTCACCTGGGAGCCAGATGGGGACCGGGAAAGGCAGCGGCCTGGAACTGGGGGCCGGCCAGGCAGGCCCCTGTGGCGGAGCAGGAGGAGGAGAGGGTGAGCCTTCTCTAACACAGCCGGGCCCCAGCTGAGGACGCAGGGTCGGAAGGGAGAGACCCCGAAGGAAGCCTGGGTGTGAGGCCTGTGAGCAGGCGACGGGGGTGCGGGGGACGGTGGGTTGTAGGGCAGCCTGCGGTGGGGCGGGGACACCCCAGGGACGGCCTAGGCACAGGGCTGCCGCTGCGCCCTCGTCCGTGCGTGGCACCCCTGCCCCCTTCTGAGGGAGAGCAGGTCCCTCCTCTGACAGCGGGGAAGGAGCGATGTGTCCCGCCGGGGTCGCCTGTTAGGAGAGCTGGGGGGAGGGAGGGCAGTCGAGAACGGAACCTAGAGCAAAGGGCCTGGGAGCAGAGTGCGCCCCAAAGCACCGAGCTGGCCGACCCTAACGCCGGGCCTGTCGGCGGAGGGAGGGTGGCAGCAGCCCGGACGGACCGCCTACAGCTACGCACGGATGGCCTCGTTGGAACCTCAGAAACCCCCGCGGGGACGTGCATCCCACTCAACAGAGGAGGCGCCCCCCACAGCGACGGGCTCTCGGTCGGTGCTGGCATCCACCCGAATCCCAGCCACACCCCGACGAGCTGTGCGGCGTAGGGGCCGGGGCTCTGTGTGTGGGGGATGTGCGTTCATCATGCAAAGCACTAGTTCGTGTCCAGCATGTCCTGTGCACACGGGACAGCGACGTGCCATGAAAAGCTGAAGGGATTAACTCATCTCCACAACGGGCAGGATTCAGACCCCGGGCCTGTCTGGCCCCAGGCTGAGCAGCTTGCTTCCCCAGACCCTCTCCAGGCCTTGAGCCAGGAGACTGTGCTTCACCCGGACGAAGGCTTTGCCCAGATGACCCAGGCTCGCCAGCGTGTCCGTGCAGGCTTGTCCTAAGGCAGGTGCCAGCCAGACCCACAACAGCTGCTGGGTGTGTGCAGCTGGAATACGAAACGTGCTTCTGTTTGCTTCAGGGAAAAAGGTCGGGAAGCAGAGAGGCCCGCGCGGCCTCTCTGGGGCTGGCGCCGTCCCCAGACCCCTTCCTGTTGGGCTGAGGGGACCCGGGGCTCGGATCCGAGTGCTCCACGCTGCCCTCCACCCTCAGCCTCTTCCTGTCTCCAGTTCCTAATTAGGTCTGTAACTTAATGGTACTCTTGGAATTCTTGGGTCAGCAGAAGTTTCACAAACTAGGTTAGACAAATAGGTAAATGGACTGGAAAAAAAGTCCAGAAACTACCCAGAGAGCCATAGTATCGCTTACTCATCAGCCTGGCCCAGGAGTAGGAAGCTAATGTCCCCAATTTGCTGCGATCTGCCCATCTCACAATCTCAGGTATCCTCGTGGGTTGGTCGATTGGTTGATTTCAAGCTGGTTCAACCCCGATTTCCAGTGATTTTTCTTCCGGACCCTTAAGGGTGACGGTGTTGGGAAGCGGGAGGCAGTCAGCCCTCTGGGTTTGCGTGCCCTTCCACAGAGGGAGGGCACAGCAGCCAGGAGCTGGCCCGTCCTGCCCAGCAGAGCCGTGGGAGCCCTCTGAGTGTCGGTGGCCAGGCTGAGGGAAGGTTAGGCAGCTGGGGGGTGAAGCAGGAGCCTTCTGAGCCAACAGACACCCATGCACAGGCAATCCCACGCTGTGCAGGCCGCGTGACAGGCAGACGCTTCAGTCGTGGTGACGCGGCAGGAGTTGCCCTCACCCCACTTCTCCCCCCGTGCCAGCATCTTCCCTCTGCCTGTGGTGCCCTGAGGACCTCACATCTGGGATACTGTCCCCACCCCGTTTTTTTGTTTGTTTGTTTGTTTTTTAACGTCTTTCTCCACCCGTGGCTCTAGTTTTATTGGCACTTTGATACACCTAAGTAAGTGGGACAGACCAGTTCTTTCCGATTTTGTTCTGGGCATCAGACTGGCAGCAGCCCTTGCCAAGAGACTGAACCGGTTGTAACTTTCTAAGATTAAGACACTAACTAGAACCAGATTGAAAGAGAAGTAAAGAGGTTTTCATGCCTTGCCCCAAACTGCACCTCAGACAGCACTTCCGCTCTTCCACACCTGCACAGGACCGCCGTTCCTAAGGAGCATGGTTTTCACTTGCTAAGCCTTCTGTATTAGTCAGGGCAAGCGAGGTTCTGCCGTGAAACAAACACCCTCAACAGTCCAGCGACTCAGAAAACTAAAGGGTTATGTCTTGCTCATGCTGTATACCCAACGCAGGTCAGCGGGGACCTTCTGTCTCTTTTAGCCTGTCAGACACCGCCCCAGTTTAGAGGTTCCATGGGCGCCCAGGATCAGGAGGGGGCAGCACGTGGCAGCAACAACACACCAGTTGAACCCACCCACCTCCGTGCAGAAGCAACGTGACATGTGCGCCCCCGCTCACATTTTATTGGAAAAACTGTGGTGCGTGGCCATACCTCGGAGACATAATCCTTCTTGTGCCCAGGAGAGGAGCTCCACGTGCAGGTCTTGGTGACGCCTCCCACACCACGGTTGGCTAGCCGACGTGGACATCTCCCTCTCAGCATCGAGAATGCCGAGCGGCTTCCTGCTGAGCAGGTTGGGGGGCAGTTCTCCATACCGGCCAAGTGCCTCATAAAATGCCATTTCGTTGTGGAGACAGGCAGCGAAAGGAGGGGTCTTAGGAAAGACAGGTCTCAGACCAGGCTCCAGTGTCACTTGTCTTCCTGAGAAACGCCAGAATCAGAACGCAGCGCCGCTCACCAAGCCCATCCTGGCGTCTGTGGTCATTTTTATTCCCAGGTCTGTCCGTCTGTGTGGCCCAGGCCTGCAGCCCTGCTAGTTCTTAGCTCCTCTGCCATGGCCCAGGTCTCCAAGAATTTCCTTCCAGGCTCCAGGGACATGGGATTATCATCAAAGAGACGTTTCTAAGCAGCTCATCTGGGAGTGCTGCCATGAAAGGCGCTTGTAGAGACAGGGCAGGGGGAGGAGCCTCTACAAGGAGTGGGCTGTAGTCGATGTCTTCAGGACCTCAGCTGGCAGACCAAAGCAATAGCTCTGTGAGACCGCCAGGCCGCAGGCATGCTGCCTTCCAGCAGGCAAGGCGGCTGCAGAGCGTCCCAGGAGAGGACCGGCCTGATCCACAGCTGCCCCCAAGGCTTGAATAAGCCTCTCCACGGCCAGATAGGAAACAGGGCCCCGGCCGTGAGCACTAGGCTCTCATAGATCAGGTGCACAGGCTCCTGCAGGCTCTCTTCCCCGCACGCCAGGCCTGGGCACCGATTGATCTTGCGCCGCACGCAGTGAGGCCTGTGCTGCTGCCGCCACCCCTGCTGTGCAGGTGCCTCAGACGAGGCCCCAAGTTCAGATAAATCCCTGGCTGGGGGTTGTGCAGCAAGAAGGGGTCGGATTTCGGCCCAGCCATCCTGGCTCTAGACTTCAGTTCGGTGCCATGCCTTATGACCTGTGACCCTGATGTTAGACAGGGAGCGGGGTCTTGGACAGGATCTCGGATGAGCTGCTTTTTATAGGGGGAGCAATTGAGTATACTTAGTAAAAATGATACCCTCGAAAAATGAATATTTCTATATCCTTGTGTTTTTGTTAGCTCACTTTGGCAGCTCTGCCAAGCCAGTGGGTCCCATCCAGTGGGACACCATTTAGGTGGGGTCTGGCTTCTCAGATGATACAAGCACAGGGTAGGTGAGAAAATTAAGGAGCAGAAGCGGTCAGCCTTTGGCTTTGGGAGGAACAGAAGCACCGATGTGAAGCAACAGGCTGCCTTGCCCGGCGTCCAGTTCCCCCAGCCCTAGGCCCTGTCCACAGCCCTCGGCCCATCCATACAGCTGACCCCAAACCACGGCCAAGCCCCGGCCCCACCACGTTCTCTTCCGCTGACTGTGCTCTTTCTGGCTGCAGGTAACCTGGACATCACTCCGGACGACCCCCGCTGGATCGGAGCCTGGTGGGGCGGCTTCCTGCTCTGCGGTGCCTTACTCTTCTTCTCCTCCCTCTTGATGTTCGGGTTCCCACAGTCTCTGCCCCCGCATGCAGACCCCGCCCTGGAGAGCGAGCAGGCCATGCTCCCCGAGAGGGAGTACGAGAGGCCCAAGCCCAGCAACGGGGTCCTGCGGCACCCCCTGGAGCCAGACAGCAGCGCCTCCTGCTGCCAGCAGCTGAGAGGTGAGGTACCTCGGCCACGGCGACCGGAGTGACGGGGCATCAAAGGCGGCGGGGCACAGGGTGGGGGTTCAGTCAGGACTGGCTGCTGGGGACTTGCAGCAGAATTGCATTTGTTTTGCATGACTTGCTCCTCTGGTCCTGTGCATAACTTACTTCTGAGAAGTCAGTGACCTGACTTGTAAAGTAGCTACCAGCTAGTGAAGGGCAGCAGAATAACGTCCCCAGCAGAAGATCCCGTGGCTCACGTAGCAACGGATGTATCATAAATATAAATGTTTGCAGAAGGAAGAGGGTGTAAGAGGGCAGGAGGAGGCTAGGCATTTCCCGGAACACGCTTGAACTCCTTCACGCTGCTTATAAGTGCATCGAAGCATTAAAGGACCTCTGAAGTTGGCTCCCTTTGCCCGATATGGGCATTCTTTAAAAGCCACAAAGTACATTCCTTTAGATTCACTCTGTCCTCCCTTCCCCTCCATGGAAGAAATATTAACTCCATCTGAATAAGAGTCACACTGTAGAATGTGGCAAAGCACTCACTATCACTTATAAAAGGAAAAATGCATCTTTTCTGACAAAGTGGGGACATAGAATGATGCACAGTGAGAATGAGAGGTCCCCCCCCTTCCTCCCACCTCCAGTTGATTCCACATTAGGCACGTTTCGTTTCTGAAAGGTGAGGAAAAGGACAGTGTAGCCTCAAAAGCTGCTTCTGATCATGACCTCCCACTGAGAGGTGTGTGCAGTTTTCCTTAATTCACAGGACCCTGCCCTCGGGTCCCCTGGAGAACCTGCTGGGTTTTAGGAACGAGCAGCGGCCAGCAGCCTCCGACGCAGCCCTGCTGTGCTCGGCAGAGTGCGGCGGCAGCCTCCCGCAGAGCCCTGCGTCACGAGGTGCCCTCTGTGCAGGTGCCGTTGGGCCAGGGCCGCAGGCCGCCTGCGGCTCAGACTCCTGTGCTGCTCGGGACCGGCCCCGCAATCATTGGCTTCTCCCGGCTTCATTTCCACGAGTAAGAAGCGGTGGCGCGCCCCTCGGTGAGGTGCAGGCCTGACCATTGCAGCAGGGCCCACAGACGGCTGCCGATTGTGCCCATTAGGCCTCGAGGAGTAGGAAGAACTCGTGTTAATTCCCAAAAGAGACTGTAATTTAATAACCTGATGTGTCTTACCCCATGGCTCATGAGGGTTTCCACCGGACTTTCCGTGTGGCATTGTGCGTAGAAGGCTTAGAATTCATCCCCCCTGGTTCCAGGAGGCATTGGTAGATGGGAAGGCCACTCGCTTTGTGGTTCCTTGGCTTGGACCCCCAGGAGTGTGTGCCTAATACAAGAGCCCTGCCACGGCAAAAAGCCAATGGCCACCTCAGGAGCCCTGGTGACCAGCACAGGAGCTGCCGGAGCGAGCGGGGCTGCCGTGAGAGGGGGCCCTGGGGGGCACCCCCGCCCGGGGGGCAGGGAGGCAGCTGCGGTCCTGGGTCTTTCCCCGTGCGGGGGTGACAGTCCTGCCGGCCTGTGGCGGTGATTGTTAGAGCCGTTCAGGTCCTACCGCATTGTTCACCTCCGGGTGTGCAGAGGCGAGAAAGATGTGGCTCTGCCATCAGAGGGCTCGCCAGCCAGCGCGGGGCAGACTAGCCAGCCAGCAAAGCCAGTCCAGGGCGGCGCGCACTGCATGCCTAGCAGCCCAGAGGTTATAGAAATACGGGGACAGGTGGGGCAGACCCCGCCTCCTGGGTCAGAGCCGGAGCTGAGCAGAGTCTTGAGGGCGGGTCTCGGCTTCAGGATTCTTGCACTGTGACTCAGTCGCTCATTAACTCGCCTGTTCAGTTAGTATTTACCGAGACCCTGCGGGCCGTTAGGGGCAGAGCATGGACCGAGGCAGCTTCTATTCTGCGACCTGTGTTGGAGCAGGGGAGGCACGCAGGAGGCAGGGTCCCAGCCGTGGCGAGGCGAGCCGTGGGCGTGCAGGGGCTGAGCCTGGTCAGTTTGTCCGAGACTCACGGGACCGTACGTGATCACGTGTACACGTGAGCTCCACTTCTGATGAGAAGCGGCTTTTCCTGTAGAATTAGCAGTTCCCCAAGACAGTAGGTCTCTGAATGGATGTGAAGGATGTCCCGGCAGGAAGGGAAGGCAGTGTCTCTAGAAGTCCCAGGAGCCAGAGTGTGGTAAAGTGGGCTGTTACGCTAATCAACCATTTTACACATGCCAGCTCATGGCGAGGGCCCACGGTGGCTTACGTCCTGCATCCTTCCGCCTGAGACAGTGCTCTTGCCTTGTGGATGTTTCCACCAGCAGCGCCCCACCTTGCTCCCTGGCGCTCCCAGCGCCGCCGCTGCTTGCGCCCAGAATGTGGTGGCCCTGTGCAGCGAGGTACACGTTCTGGGTATAGATAAGCTGAGCAGCCTTTCACACAGCAGGGGACGTGACATTGCTCTAAAAATCTGTGTGTTACCATTTCCCATTTGATTGGCTTGAGCTTGCAAACGGGTTTCTTCTTTGGCCATTAATCGGTGTCCCCTCCATGCTCTGTAGAGAGAAAAGGCTCCTGAAAGCACTGGCATTGCACCCAAAGCAGCGCCTCCATCCCTCCCCTGCTGGGGCCAAGGAGGTCCCCGTGGGCTCACGTCCAGCCTGGCCGCTTCCTAGTCAGGCAGCCTGGCCGTGTCGTCTGACCCCTTTGGCTTTAACATGGTGTCTGGTTTCATCTTCACAGCAGCTGTAGAAGGTCAATATTACCACTTTCCTGTTTGGAGATGAGGAAGCCAGGCTCTAGAGATACAGGAGTTGGGGTCTGTGGTTCGCTTTTCCGGCTACTCTCCTCCAAAAGCAGGCTCGAAGGGTCTGTTCCCGACGGAGTCGGTCATCACTTGGGTTTGCAACTCTTAGGAGAAAGGCTAGAGTCTCCTTGTAGAGCTGTGTGGACCGTTGTTACTTCTGATGTCTCGCATAGTCCATAAGGCCCCACCTTGATGTGACTGTCACGTAACCACTTTGTGAAGCAGGTGGCAGGCAAACAAATGCTTGGATTAGTGAAATTCTGGTCTCCCCTCCAGGTGGAAGCGTGCAAATTCAAGACACATTTTTGCATCTCGGCTGTGCCAACAGACAACTTCCCTCGTACAGCCCAGCTCCAGAGCCCCTCCTTGCTGGTCTCATTCTTGAGATGCCCCAGGGCGCCTGCTGGTCATCTTCCAGGACCCTTCTCGCGCCCTTGCACCCTCCTCCCTGCGTCCGTCCTCTCGTGTCTAGAACTGTGTCTGCTCCCCGCTCCCTACACTGTGAGCTGTGGGGGTGGGGGCGAGGCCTCCCATGTCCAGAAGCTCAGAGTTTGCAGAATGGCTTGTGGAAGGCCAGGCCCAGAGGGAGGAAGATGTTCAGGGGACTGTGATAGACAAATGCACGGTCTTACACCGGCTGGCGTGTTAAACCTCACGCCCACAGGTTTGCATGTCGTTGGAAATTGCCTCCCGAGTCACTTGCCCTGAAGGGGCCGTGATGGTGGGGCTCGGGGCCCCCTCTGCGGTGGCACATCGGGGCACCCTCCCCATTGTGCTCTGGACAGTTTCTGGAACCTGTCAGGGGCTCCCCTCTTTGCCGCTCTTCCTGCCTGGCCCGCCCTCCTCCCTTGGCCCGTCTGCGCCGAACTCAGTCCCCGCTTTCCCAGGAGCCCCGCTACAGCCCCTTCGGCGCATGTGGCCCGTGGGCCGCCCGGCCCCTGGAAAGCACTTGCTAGAGCCCTGCAGGGTGACCTCTCTGCTTGTCTGCATCTGCGCAGGGCTTGTGGGTTCTCCGGGACAAAGTTCTCGTCACCTTTTGTTTCCGCTGCACAGCACCGTGCCTGGCGTGTAGGCACTATTGGCTGAATGAACGAACGAGGGAGCGCTTCCCCGCCAGCATGCACATGGTGTGCACACCCAGGCGCGCACACACTTGGGCAGCTAACGTTCGCTTGCCATGCACTTTTCTGTTTAATTCTCTTCGATCCTGTAAGGCATTGGTAGCATCTTACAGATAAGGAGACTGAGGCTTAGAGATGAAAGGAAAGGCTGTGAGTCCTGGCTGGGACCCAGTGCCCATCCTCTTTGCTGCAACGTTATAGTGCATCTTTGGGTAATAAACCAACTCTTTCTTAAAGGAGTGGCTTCAGCAGAGTGTACGAACACCCCTCTGGCTACCGCTCAGCAGCACAGAGGCCCCCTGAAACCATGGGCCTTCGAGGCAGGGGCACCTGCTAAACAGGAGGGAGACCCGCCTGCCTGCGAGCACTGTTGGCACGTCCTGACTCGGACGGGCTTTCTCGCTGGATGAGTGTGACTGAACCGGAGGTTTAAAATCTGAAGGCAGAGCTTTGCCTCTGATCATTGAAAGAGCAGAGCAATCAAAATCTGAGCACTCTTGTCCCTGTGCTTCGCGCGCTGACTGCCAAGTGGCTTCTTCGCATCCCAGGAAAGAGAGCTGCACCAGCCGGCAGCGGGGGACAGCTGAGCTGGCAGGGAGGGCGTGGAGAGCAGGCTCAGAGTCTTAAAAGCCAGCGCCCACATGTGGAGGGCAGTTTATGACTTCCGGAGCACATGCGAGGACCTCCCCCGCTTCCTGTCCGGGAGGTGGGAGCAACTGACCTTCGTGCCAGCCATCGGCACAGCTGGGAGCAGGCCCTGGTCTCCACACTCTAAATTCCAAGCTCTTACCAGTGTTTTGCATAAGGGTTCACTCAGTTTTAATGAACCAGCTGAGGAGGAACAAGGACGTCAGCTTGGGGTCGATGGAACAAAAGCCCTTTTACGTTGTCAATGCGCAGCACCCAACTCAAGAGGACCTGTGCTTTCGGGGGAGATGAGGTCTGCTTGGCTCGGTGCCTTCTCCGCCCCTCCTGCCCCGCTCGTGCATCCTCGCTGGGTTCTGCCGATTCTGTCACCTGGCCTCCAGCCTGCCCCGGGCTCCCAGGCTTGGCGCAGATGACGAGCGTTTGGGGACCCGTCACAGCCTGCCTTCGCCACACCTTGGCCACCAGGGAGCCCCGCCCCCTCAGCCCTGGGATTCGGCCACGTCCCAGGAGTCTTGTCTATAGGGCCCCAGAGGCCAGTCCGGTCACTGGCTTTGCTGTGTATTGTCCTGTGCAGATGGCTTTTTTGTTGTTCACGCAGACCACGACCTTCTCTATAGGCAGGTCCTCTAATCTAAAACGTTACAATGTTGGTGAGATGCTGTAGGAACTTAACTCCTCTTTGCATCAGTTATCCTCTGGTAAAGTTGCATTTGTTACATATCTTTTCACTTAAAGTTGCAGAACTTATTGAAGGTTTAGTTAAGTGAAGACTTATTACACACGGGACGCATTACATTCCACCTGTCACCTCACCGAAGGCGGGCACACGGGAGCTGGTAGCCAGCAACTTCCCTCAGAGGTGACAGTGAGAGGGAGCCGCGAAGCCCCCTGGGTCCTCGACAGCCAGGTGCAGGTGGGGGACAGGCTCACCTCTCGCAAAAAGGTCGGAGTGGGCCCGAGGCTGCAGGTTTGGGCAGTAGTTTTCCCTCTGAGCCGGTGTGGCTGTCGTGCGGTGTGGCTGTCGTGCGGTGTGGCTGCTTCCTCTGAAGGTCGTGATGCGAGCACTGCGCTGTGACCGAGGCGATGGAGCGGACTCTGAAAGGGTGGCCGAGGGCCGTTCCCCGGGGCTGCCCTCAGCCTGCCTGCTGGTTGTCAGCGTGTTTCCAGAGCTTAGAGCGCTCCGTTCCAGGCGAGCCCCCGATCCAGCAACTGTGCCCTTACCTGTCAGAATGCTGCCGGCCACAGCTTCCGAATTCCTTCACGACGAGGAGGTGCTCTTGTCACCCGGCAGGATCCTGGCCTCGCTCTCTGCAGTGTGAAGCTTGCCCTTCTGTGACACAGCCAGCCAGTCCCTTGTCACGGGGACATTGCACCATCGCAGTGCGCCACCCCATCGGGCACGGCAGCCTCCCTCAGTAGCCTGGCCTCTGACGAGGGAGGCTTCCGTGCAAGGGGCTTGTGTACGTGAGGGCACAGACTTTCCTCATTACCTTCTGTTGATGCCCCGTGTATTCACCTTTGTGTTTTTTTTAACAGTCCACATTTTTTAAACATGACACAATCAGTATTCCTCTAAGGATTTGTACAATACTTAAAAAATGTGTACTTAACAAAGGAAAATTCCAGAACATTGAAACACAGATTTTAAATGCAAACACTTGCAGACATTATTTGAAACATTTAAAAAGTCAGTTATCCTAAATGTTTGAAGCCCTGTAATAAATAAATATACATATATGTTTATATTTATATAAATATATAAAATACATATATGCCAGCATACTTGCAGAAAAGCCAGATATCGATGGGTGAATACCATGGATGTAAAGCTGTTTCCTCAGAATCTTTGTTCTTACACCTCTTTTAAGGCTTTGCTTTGTTTTTCCTGTGTGTGTGGCTCGCGTTTATTTAGTCCAGGAGCTGCCTCCCCCTCAGGTTTGGTGATCTCACAAGGACCCACGTGGGGCCCCTGGTGGCCACCCACCCCTCCCCTCCCCGGGCCGCTGCCGGAGGCTCCTCAGCTGGGGCGTCGTGGGGCTGGGCACCCGCCCACAGCGGTTCGGATTCCCCAGGCGCCGGGCCAGTCCGTTCCCATCGCTGAGTGTCTTTCGGTGTGTCGAAGGGGCCTTATCTCCCTGTCTTTTTGAAACTTGATGTCTCTCCCATGAATGATAAAGTTTCAGTTCTGTGTGTGTGCCAGTTCCTGACCCATTGTTCTGTCATTGTGATTTATTGAGCTTGTCGGTTAACATTATTGAAAACTGATGTGTCCTTGATTCTTATTTTATTCTAATTAGTTGGGCCATGTAGAGGTCTCGCCTCCTGGGAGAGGAGATGGAACCTGTCTGAGTAGGTCTCCCCTTCAGGGCGGCTGGCGCATTCACCGCCTGGGAGTAGTGGTGGACCCCCGCTTACCCGTCACTCGCCTGGCCCTGGTGCCGACGGGGACTCCCTAGGCTTAGCGTGCCCTTTGCTTCACCTGGGACTGAGAGCTGCCTTTTCCTCTGGTGCAGGGGAACGAGCACCGTGCGCCCGGCACTGCCCGCCGCTGTGCCTGCCGCAGGGCGGGGCCCCTGACTGCGCTCTCGCGCACGCCGTCCGCGGGCGCGTCCCTTCTCTGCCCACCGCCGCTTCCATCCTGTACACGAGACTTTCCTGTGAATAACGTTAAGCCTGGTTGACGTAACCTGGCATTGTCTTAAGCGATGATGGCTCTGACAAGCCACGTGCTGTATCAGTTATGTTTCAGCTAACTTTTCTGTAGGCGCTTGTTAAAATAACGGTGCGGATATGGAGGCGGCCGGGTCGGCCGGGGGTCCGCAGAGCCCCATTGCGCCCCGGCAGGGCCCGTCGTCACTCGCAGTGAAGGAGACCTGGCCAAAAGGCCACGTGCCAAGGATGTGAATCACTGGAAATACCCAAATAATGATGTTGTTTTTGAAGGATTAAAAAGAAACCAAATATCCCATTTTTAAAAGCACTAATGTAAAAGGAAGTCTTAGTGGTTTAGGAAATGACATACTTTAAGAAAAATAGAGTACAATAAAATGAGATTAAAATGCATGACCTCAGCAAGCCCTGCTTTCTGGCTCTGGTGGTACTTAGGGGAGCGCAAGCCACATCACACTTTCGCATCAACTTTCATCTGAGCCCGGAGCCAGGGGCTCGGCCGGCTGCTGCTCGCTCGGCCTGGGTACTGAGGAGGGGACACACGTGCACCACAGACCTGGGGGCAGGGTGCCCCCTTGGAGGGGGCAGCCCAGTGCACAGATCTCGGCGGGGAGGCCTGGGTGTCAGGAGGAGCAGTGCCAGGCAGGGGGGCTGGGCTGGAGGGAGGACGGGGTCGGGTAGGAAGTGGGGCCGAGGGGCCGGCTGCCGCCATGGCACTGGCCCACGGTGGAACGGGGAGGAGCAATGTGAGTCGAGCTGATCCCATTGGCTGCCGTGTGGGGATGGTTACACTGGGTCAGGAGTGGAAACGCAGGCCCTAGTTGGGTGTTTCAGTAGTAATCCCCCAAGTGCGGGCTTGCGGTGGCTTTGTCCAGGCAGGTGGCCGTGAGGGTGGGGGCCACAAGGAAGTGGCAGTGGGTTTTACAGATCTCTAAGTATATATGGGAGAGCACTAGAATTTCATTTCTTTCTTGAAACTCTTATTTAAGATTCAATATATTTCCTTAATGCACATATACAATTGTAAATATTAATTATATATATGTATGTATATACTTAGATATGTTGATAGAACATAGTCATATTTTTATAACATATAATTAAGCCATATTTTCCCTTTTGAGAAACAAACCCTAAACTCCTTTTATTTTTTTTTTTGGGGGGGGTGTGAAAATAAGGTGTGATTCCTTATTATAAAACATTTCAGTGTTTCCGGTGAACTCTGCTAAGAGGCACATCATAGCATCTCCCGTTCGGGCATCAGGTTCACTGGCAAACAGCGTATATTTGGAAGCTGGAGTTTTGCAGTTGTGGGCAACCTCCAGGTGACAGGTTTTGGCCTGGGGGACTGGGCAAGTCCTGGGCTGTTTGCTCAGGCTGGTGGATGTGTGACGAGAAGGGGTCCTGGGGGCAGAAGGCCTGGGAGGCAGCTGTGTGACCTGTGCCCTCCGCCTCCTCCGCAGTCATCCCCAAGGTCACCAGGCACCTGCTCTCCAATCCTGTGTTCACCTGCATCATCCTGGCTGCCTGCATGGAGATCGCCGTGGTGGCTGGCTTCGCCGCCTTCCTGGGGAAGTACCTGGAGCAGCAGTTTAACCTCACCACCTCTTCTGCCAACCAGCTACTTGGTGAGTGTGTGCCTCAGCGCCCCGGGCGGCGGGGCGGGGCGGGGGGCTGCCGTGCCTGTGATGGATCCGGCTCGGAGGTACTGAGGCTGCTCCTGCACAGCATGTGTGCGTGGCCCCGCGTAGCAGTTTCACAGGCCTTTCTCCAGGTAAGATTAGCCCGCCTGAGGCAGTTACTAAAAAAATACATGATAATACAGAACTAAAATATAAAGTGTGCGCAGGAAGCATTGTGACAGGCCAGGATGCTCGAGCATCTACCAGACAGACGTTGGCAAGCGTTGGTGGGGAGGTGGAGCAACTGGAACCTGCTCCACGGCTGGTGGGTGTGCAGAATGGTGCAAGCATTTTGGGAAAATCCGCAGTGGTGCCCGTTCAGACCGAGCATACGCATATGCTGGGACCCAGCCGTCCCACCTCTGGGCACATACCCAACAGAAACAAGTGCGTAGGTCCACTCATTCGTTGTTAGATGCATATGTAGCAGTATTCATAGCAGCTTTATGCTTAATACCCTCCAACTGGAAACAACCCAAATGTCTGTCAGCAGTGGACTGGGTAAATAATTTATATAACGACTGTCATGCAGCATGAAAAAGCAAGAACTTTCCTGTGTGCCTCAGCATGGTTGAATTTGACAGAGTTCAAAGGTATGGGACACCAAAGAGTCCGTACTTCAGTTACAAAAAGAGGGAAAGTTACTGAATGTGGCAGAGGCCAGACTGATGGGCAGCCTTGGGGGAACTACCTGTGGGAGCCTCCTGGCCCCCAGACGTGCCGCAAGCTTGATCTGAGCGGCTGGCGGCTGTTTAGGAGGGCAGAAATTCACCGGCTCTTCCCTAGGCTTTGGCACCGCACGAGGACATAAAAGATGAAAGTCCATCCGCCGTGATGGGGCCAGATCCCAGCACGTCTCCCTGGAAACCGCTCAGGAAACACAAGTCTTTTTTTTTTTTTCTTTACTAATAACTCTTCATCATCCACTGCTTTAGAAATGTTTCTTCTAGGAGTGATTAGCAATACGCAGCCAGCCCTATAATACCTGCTTGACAGAGATAGGGTGAATGCCTCTCTTTGTAATTAAAGTTATAACTTCTTCATTATAACTAGCATCGCCCCAGCTCCACCTCTCACCGCCCGGAGAATTTCTCATCTCCTGATCGCTTTGCTGCTCTTCCATTTTGATTACAGTTGCACAGTTGTTTGAACATTGGGGTTGTTTTCAATTTAAGATTAGATTCCTCAGTTTTCTGTTAACAAATCAGTAGTTTTCAGGGCAGAAGCTCTGGAAAACAGCTCCGACTTCTGGCGCCTGTTTCTCTCCCAGCGACTCGTCCCCGGCTGTCAGAGCAGGCGGGGGAGGGCCTTCCCGCCACTGTGCGGGCAGGCGGCCTGGGCCTGCCCTGTCCCCGGGCCCCGCCCCGGGCATCACTCCCATCAGCGTGGCCTCCGGGGCCCTGGCTGCCAGGGGGACCCCGCAGTGAGACGGCGAGGCCCCGGGAGCGTAAGCCAAGGCTCGGGCATCCGCGCGGGCTCCGGGCCACCCCGGAAGGCGTCAGCAACTGAGGCAGAATTCAGAAAAGTGCAGCATCAGTGCTGAAGGGGCTGGTGACAACGACTTATTCATGAGGATAACAGAACTCGGTCTGCATAGGTGAACCGAATGAGTAAAGCGTTTCAGGAACCAGTCTGTGACCAGCCCAAATGCGAAGGGCATAGTTGCATCAAGGAGGGGCAGGGAGGTGAGTGATGGCTTGGAGAGAAGGTGCCAGAAGCCTGTTACTGTCATAGTTACTGTCACCGCTGGAGGACAGGCCCACCGTCTCTGTTTGGACAGGAAGCAAAGCGCAGGCCTGCTCTCTGCTGTGTGCGTCCCAGCGCGCTCACTCCCAGAGGCTCAGCAGGCTCCCCCCGCCACGGTCCCCGCAACAGCCCACGGTCCCCGCAACAGCCCACGGTCCCCGCAACAGCCCCGAGGGCCCCTCTGGCCAGGTGCGGGGAGCCCTGACGGACCGCAGAGGATGGAGGGGGCTCCTGTCCTCAGGGAGCCTGCAGTTCCGCAGGGAGAGAAGGAACCAGGAACAAGACGACCAAACACACAGCAGGCAGTTTCTGACTGTGCAGGAGCCATGGAAATAGGGAACCCTGGGTGGGGTGCGGGGGCCCGCGGGGCAGTCTGGGAGGGCCTCTCTGACGGGGAGCGGGGCCAGACAAGTCGAGGCATGGGGCAAGAATGTTCTACAAGAGAGGGCCAGGAAGCTCAAAGCCTGGGTGCCCGTGCCCGGGGGAGGAGAGGAGGGGCGGTGGGCGTGGGGCACAGCCACCGGCCCTGTTGGTGCGCGGGGCGGGGGAGCCCAGCAGAGGTGTTCCAAGGGCATCCGGTAACACGGGAGATACTACACGGTTTTTTAAATGTAATTTGTGATGTTTTCTTAACAGAGCTTAGCCTCCCTGGTTATATATTTCTTAGCCTAATACTAAAATTAGTACACATTCCCTTAGCACACAGCAGCTGGTTGATGTAGTCGACTGACCTCTAGGTCTCCTGATTGGCAGGGAGGGGCAGCCGAGGCAGGGAGGTTGGCTGTGCACAGTGCACCCATGGGTGAGCAGCGCTCCGGGTAATTTAAAGCCGAGTTTTAGATGATGTGGGTCGAAACAGCGCAAAAGCAAACAAGAGGCTGGAAGCCTAGGACTTTTGGGTCCTCCTAAAATCCCCTTAGTCTCTGAGAATGAGAAATAACAGGCTATGGTTCTGTTGTATTGCAGATAGCTGTTTATTAGACAGAAAACATTTTATGCCAGTCACTCACCAAGAGCCACAAAATGTATTGATTTGATTGACGGCCCTTCCTGAGAGGTCATGGGACTGCCTGAAACGCCGTCCCCACGGCCGTGCGCTGTGGGGCTTTTGGTTAAACAGCCCCCAGGCCCTTCCTTGAAGCCCTCCTCGCCCAGTTAGAAGAGCAGGTGGAAATCACCAAATGAGCTTTGGTCCCACGTCACCTCAGAAATGCACGCAGAGCACATCACTGCTCCTTGGCACTCACTTCCCTGACGTGTGTGTGTGCGCGCATTGCCACTGAGTGACTTCGTCTTTGGCAGTCCCCACGCCAGGCATGTTTCTGTGCGGGACCCCCCTCAGCACAATAGTGGATGCACTTAGACTCCCGTGTGTGTCTGCCCCGCTTTCCGGGAGTTCCTCGGGGGGCCCCGCAGAGGTGAGGCCCGGACCGCGACTCCGGGGCCCGGCGGGACCGCAGAAGCGTGCGCGGACGGCTGCTGTCCTGGCTCACGGCCCGCCCTCTGCTTGCCCGCAGGGATGACCGCGATCCCCTGTGCCTGTCTGGGCATCTTCCTGGGCGGCCTCCTGGTGAAGAAGCTCAGCCTGTCCGCGCTGGGGGCCATCCGGATGGCCATGCTCGTCAACCTGGTGTCCACAGCCTGCTACGTCTCCTTTCTGTTCCTGGGCTGTGACACGGGCCCCGTGGCTGGGGTGACCGTTCCCTATGGAAACACGTAAGTACCAGTGGCGTCTGTTCCCGCCCCTGGCTGCTCAGGGCACCGGGCTGCCCCTCGGGTAGGCTGATGGCGCCAGCGTCGTCCCTAGTGACCATGGGCCAAGAGGTGGACGAGGCCGCTGCCGCTGCCTCTGACCCCCGGGGTCAAAGAACAAGTGTGACCGCTCCGGACAGAGAGGGCAGACCGTCCCACGCCGTGCGGTGTGGCAGGGTGGCTGGGAGACGCTGGGGCCGGCGGTCAGCCGTCACTCCCCGGGGGGCCTGAGGTGCTGAGTTTGGCATTTGACGGTAGAAGTGATGTGAAGATAGAAAATAAAGACGGATTTCCTTGTAAAATTCAGCTTCAAATGAGACACAGAATGGACTTCAGCAGTTCCTTGGACTATCAGAAACTATCATCACACTCCACTCCCATAGTAATTACAAGCTCTGGCCCGGCTGGGAACTGATAAGTAGGAGGGCAAAATAAAAAGGAGAGAGGGGATGAAGGGAAGGAACTTAGTTTTTGTGGGACCATTTTTCTTATTATGTAGCTATTAGCCTTATATATCCCATACCGACAGCTGTTCCCTTTCCTACATGGGACCCTGAGGCCGCACTCAGAAGCCAGCCTGGAGCACCGAGACTGTAGCACAGCTGGCCTGCAGGCCACCAGGCCCTGTCCACGCCCACCACCTCCTCCAGGCAGGCCACCAGGCCTCCCCCTGCAGGGAGGCCAGAAGATGCAGTAGGGCCGGGCTTACCTGCCACCCCTCGAGGACAAGCAGGAGAAGTGGGAGAACGCAGGCAGAGGCAGCTCTCTGTGCATGATTCACACGCACAGGCGCTGCGCGCCCCTCTGTCCCCTGCACTGCCACCAGAGCCTCTTCCAGTCCCCATGCCAACACAGCCCCTCCCTCTCACACAGGGCGCCTCCTGGTTTGCACGTGCCCTTAATACTGGTATTTGGCGGTGCTGCCACCAGCCTTGCCGCGGCCGCTCTCAGGTGGTGAGCTTAGGGCGGTTTAAAGCACAGGCCCTGCTCTAAGGAAGTCACTCTTCAATGAAGAAGGGGAAAGCTTGGGGCCTGCAGTCCCTCCGCCGACTGCCAGTCAGCGGAGTCCCGGTCCCTTCTGCCACATGTAAGTCAGGCACGTTAGGGCAGTGGCGCTTCCTGGGGGGGCCTCGTTTCCTGCGGGGTCGCGCTGAGGGCAAAGGAGAGGGTGCATGCAGCACCTGAACGGGGCCTGGCTCGCGCGCCCGCCCGGTGTCCCTGTCCCCTCTTTATTAGGAGGCGCTCTGAGCACTGGGGACTCCAGTGAAAAGAGGCCCTTTGTCTCTCACGGCACTGAGAACACCCCCTTCTCCCTTTTCCTCTTTGCAGGTTGCTGCTCTAGGTAGCTGCCTTTAGGGGTGTAAAAGAATTTAAAGTATCTTAGTGCTGTTTTTCACAGGAAATGGACTCAATCAAGCGGGCACAGTCATCGCAGAAGCGGTGTAGCCACAGTAGTTTGTTAGGATCACGAGGCACAGGGAGTGAACCAGAGACAGGGACCAACCCAAAGAGAGGGGGAGCAAGTGTCCGGCCGTGCAGGAGGAGTGGTCGGTCCAGTGGAGGCTGCAGTAATAGGGGGCATCGTGGAGGAGGCTGCCCTGAGCAGGGCCCCGAGCGTCGCCAGCCCAGAGAGCGCGTGGCTGCGAATGAGAAGAGGGCTGCTGCTCCTCCGGCAGACAGGCTCCCTCCCGGCCGGGCGCCTGGTGCTGGGGACATCCCTCAGCGCTCTCAGCGGGGACTCTGGGCTGGATCTTGTGGGACAGAGGGGGTCACCGGTGAGTGTGGAGGAGGGAAGGACGGGCGCCAGGCCACTCGTCCCCGTGGAGGGCAGAGCAGTGTCACTGGGCGGGTCCTGTCGGAAGGGGGCCATTCTCTGACGGGCTCCCTGTTTCCTTCCTCTTTCAGCTCAGCGCCTGGCTCGGCCCTGGACCCTTACTCACCCTGCAATAAAAACTGTGAGTGCCAGACCGACTCCTTCACGCCTGTGTGTGGAGCGGACGGCGTCACCTACCTGTCCGCCTGCTTTGCTGGCTGCAACAGCACGGTACGGCGGTTTGCTCACGGGGCCTGCGGGGCGGGGAACGCGGGCAGCCGGGGCGGCTCACACCTGAGGTCCAGGGCGGGTGGGCAGCCCACGCCTCCCCTGCTCGGTGTTCTGCGCGGTGGCGCTCCTCGGCCGCTGCCCTGCTTTGGGAAGGGCCTTCCATCCACAGGTTGGGAGGACTGCTGGGTCCTCCTTGCTACATCCCATAGGTTTCCAAAAAGCATCTTTAAGCAGATGACGGTAAAAATTTAAAGGAAATTATATATATGCCAGAGAAATAGATAGTGGTTCAAGGCACTCACAAAGGGTATCAGTGGAATACGATGACTCCACAGGTAATGAGCTCCCCATCGGCAGAAGTATGTAAAGAAAGGCTAGAAAACCATTTATCAGAGAAGACCTCTTCCAAACATGAGACTGCCTGCCATTAATTCAGCCTCATCCCTACTCAGTTCCCTCAGTTTCTTCTCACCTAGATGCCTCCCACCCTTTTTGTACTCCCACTATACTTTTTTTTTTTTTTTTTTTTTTTTTTGGCTCTCTTCCTCTTGGCTTGAAACACACAGTTGGCTGTCAGCCTGCAATGACAGCCTGATGCCAAGCGACTGGTCACCAGCTCTTGCTGATCCTGCCTGCCAGGCGTCTCTTGAACCTGCCCTTCTGCGTCCACACCACCACTGCCCTGCTATGTGCTGTCCTCGCCTCTTGCTTGGACCAGGGTAGTAGTTGCCCCACTGGGACTCCCAACTCGGGGGGGGGGCTCCCTTCTGGTCTGCCTTCTGCACTGCAGCCAGAGTGATTTCTGCAATACTGCAGATGACCCTTTCTAGTGCTAATGTATCAGCTAGCAGATGGCTCCGGGCTCCGATCTAGGTGGGATTATGCCTCAACATGGGTCTGCCCTCAGCCATCCTCCTCCGCTCTGCCTCCTCTCGGCCTGCGGCGTCAGCTTCTCCCGCACGCCAGGCGCATTTGCGTACTGCTCCCTCCCGGGACGACACCTGCTGACCCGCTAGCACGTGGCCAGGCCCCTCCTCTGTCCCCTTCTGAGCCTTAGGGGCCCTGCCTCTGTGGCCTTGGTCCCGGGGGCGGGCGTCCCGTTTCACTGCAGTGGCCCGCGGGGAACATTTGTCACTGCCCTGACCTGGGCTTTCCTGAGCAAGGACTGGCATCCGCGGGTGCTCCCTAAATGTCCAGGAACGCGTAGAGGGAAAGCCAGAAAGGAAAACAGCAGAGTGGCTGCTTTCAAGGAATTAGAGTAGAAATCGTGTGTTTCCTCTCCTTGCCGCATCCTGTGTCTTTGGGGAGCAGCAATTTTCCTGAAATAAGAAAATGTGGATAATTTATTTTCATTCCCAAAGATTTAGTTTTTTCCTTGCTTTTAACATTTAGATTCCTGGCCAGTTATTAACATTTTTCTATAGAGAAAATAAATCTCCATGGGTAGGGAGGGGGGAGGAACAGATTTTTTAAATTAGATGATAAAGCAATTTCTTTATGTGAGTGGAGATGAATTTTTTAAAAAGGGATGGAATCTGGAGAGCAGTTAAAATAAAAATACAAGCTATTCTTTTTCATGACAACAATGTCATTAATATTCAGAAAGTTGTATTATAAATCATTGTTGGTTATTATCCTGTTATAAGAATTAAATACAGGCTAGAGCCCTGATACCCAAGGAGTCTATTCCAGAGCATTCTGTGGCCCAAAAATCGTCTTAAAAATTCCCTCTCACATGTGTGTTCAAGAGCCTTACTGCATCAGAGCCCAGCCAGGCCTCGGGTTGCTTCCAGCTGCCGGAACAAGCAAGCCATGGCTGCAGCTGTCGGCCGGCGAGCATCTCCACTTCCCTCTGGCCGCGCCGTTTATTCCCCAGACGCCTGCCTGTCCTTCCCGCTCCTGGAAGCCTCAGCTCGTCCGTGGGGTGCAGGCAAGGCGGGGAGGCTCTCCCCCTGCCCTTACAAGGCAGGGACTGGAGAAGCCCCAGACCCCAGGGCGGGGGTAAGAGTAGCGGCCCTTCCCCATAGAGACAGGCTTCAGCGCCCTGGCCCCCAGAAGGCGGGCGAGGCACTGGGGGGCACTGAGACACGATTCCTGGAAAAGGGCCCTTGGGACAGTTTAGCCGTAAACGCCACCACAACTGTGAGGCTTGGAACAGCAGCTTTTCCAGGAGCCTGCGCACCCCGATCAGGGCCTTCCACGCGTCCCTCATGGCCCGGTCAAAGGGCTCTCAGGCCGCCGTCCGAAAAAGAAAGCAACTGCCGTCTCTTAATCCTCTGCTGCAGTATTTTGAGAAAATGCCAAAAGGCAGATTACGTTCCTGGTTCTTGGTTTACTCTTTCCTCTTGTCTCCAAGCTCTGAAAAAAACTGTCCCACTCACCCAAGGCCCCCCCGCTCCGCGCTGGCTTCCCCATTCCCTCCGTTCGTTCCGTCACCATCTGCTGGGCTACTCCACCCTGCTCAGTGCCAACGGGCCACGCGTTCGTGTGCGCCCCGCCCTAGGTGTTACCTCGCGGGTCCTCTCGGTGACTTGGGAAGGTGTCGCTTATTCCCTGATGACAGATTAGTCACTTGCTGAGGATCACACCGAACATGTGCCGGCATTGGAGCGTGGAGTCCGTAGAACCCCAAACCCAGTGTTTCCCGGTCTCTGTGACTTCCTCCTTACGATGCCCCCCTTTATTCCACCTGAAGGGACCTCTTCCTGCATCCGCCTCCCAGCCGGAAGCTCCTTGCTCCCCCACCCCTGGGAGGGGCCCTTGCTGTGGTGACCGTCCTGGGCTCCCCCGCACACCCAGCTCCGCAACGCCAGGCCTCTGCGTGCGCTCTCCCTCTTATCAGGGACCGGTTGTCCAAGCCCCTCGCACGCCCAGCGCCCCCTTATGGGAGGCTGGGGGGCCTGTTCCCCCCCGCTGCCCCCATCGCAGAGCCCCCCACGCTGTCTCCCAGTGAGTCTCTCCCCTGCCACCCACACCCCACACCCCCATTGTGTTGAACGGCTCCCCCCTCCTGCCTCTCCCTCACTGGGCCCGGTGTACGGGGTGCGGCGGGGGGAGGCTCTGTGGCGACTCCCGCGTCCCCAGAGCAGCCGCGGCCCAGGCCTCCTGCGCGGCTGGTGCCCCGTGCTGGCCTCGGCCTGGGCCGCGCGGGAGACGGCACTGCCGTCTCTTGACTCAGGATCGGCAAGTGGGTAGGTCGGCTGGTGCTGACGTTTATACTTGAGACCCAGTCCTTGTGTATCTCTCAGCACTTGATAGCTTCCACCAAGACTGGTGAAGCTTCCCCCTAACTCCATTAGATGTGAGTCATTCACCATTCAGATAGTTCTGATTATAAGGGAATCTGGTTAGTGTTAGCAGGTTGCTGACAGGAGACTTTCCTTCCTGCTCTGGTTTAGGTTTTGTTTTTTATTTTCTTGTAGCTCCGTGACTGACAGCCATGGAAGTGTGCGGGATTGCATTTAATATGTGGTTTGTAATTCTGGAGCGGGTGACCAGGAGGGGTGACGAACAGACTGCAGGCTGGGTGGCTTTGTAAGCTCCCTGTGGCACGAGCATGTTGTCGAGCTTGCGTCTGTACCTCTCGCTCTCAGAAGCGGTTATTCCAGCAGAAGGCACGTGGTGTGCTGCTGGCTGGCTGCTGGAAGCTCTGTCCTTTCGACGTACTGAATAATTGACAAAAAAAATCTTACAGTGGCCGCCGGTAGAACATGGGAAGTCAGTAGGAGTCTGGTTTGTGGGGCCCTCACGGCAGGCGACCCGTCTGTGCCGCCGTCCGGGCAGCAGATGTTTCTCGTGCGCCTGCTGAGCCGAGCCCCGAGTCCCTTGTCCGCGTAGGGTCCATGGCTTGTCACCGACTGTCAGGGTTCTCAGTCCTGGCTGTGCGTGAGACTCACTTGGGACCTTTTCAGTAATGACGCCTGAGCCCCATCCATAGAAAGTCTGGTTTCCTGGTTCTGTATTCAGTATTTTTAAAGCGCCCGCCCACCCCGCCCCGGGGCTGAGCGCGACTGCGGTAACCGGTGCCTGCACCTCAGCCCTGTGCATCCGGGCACTCTTCTCTGTCCTGGGAGGTGCTCTGCGGGCTGGAGGGCGTTCAGCGGCTTCCCTGGGCTCTGCCGCCAGAGGCCAGTAGCAGCCCCACCCCCAGTTTATGAAGCCACTGGTGTCGCCAGGTATTTCTGTCATTCTGGGGTGGCCAGAATCACCCCCAGGTGTAAGCCACCGCTCTGAGAAAGGGGCGAGCTCTCAGCACTCTCTCAAGAAGCAGGTCAGCGTCTGAGCAGACACTGAGCGTTCTCCCTTTGCTCCCCTTTCCTTTGTCACCGCTCTGTGTGCCCGCGGGGACACCGGGCTGGAGATGAGCGGCACCGTCCGCGCGCTTCTCAGGGGAGGCCCACTGCTGCTTGTGCGCCGCCGCGCCCGCCCCGCAGACGTGTGGGCTGCGGGCTGAACCAAGCCTGGGTTTCGTCCACAGATCCCGGTGTCTCTCTAGACGTTGAGCCGTACCTGGCGTGGCACCGGCACCCCGACAGGGCGGCAGTTGGCTGCGGCTGAGCGGCGGCCGCCCCGCCACGGCCGCCCCTTGCACCCGGACCATCTCTCTCCGCTGCTTCCTGTCTGGCTCTCAAAGGCTTAGAGCTTGCAAACCCGCTTAGATAGCCCGGCCCCGTTTGCCAGAACAGGTTGAAAAGTTTGTACTTACTCTGGTGATAGCCTGTCATGAAGGACTGTTCTGAAATCCAGTCCCCCTGGGGGTGCGGCCACTCAGGGCACCTGAGGCGTTTGAGGCCCGGCCGGGCCGCGGGAAAGGCAGAGACTCCTGTGGAAATGCAGGAAGTGAGGAGCGCCCGTTCACTATAAAGTGAGATACAGTCGATTCTTAGAATTTACGTGCAAGGGCACAGCCAAGTGCAGGCGCCAGCCTGGCTCATGTGTTTGCAGAATAGTATTAAGGGGAAAGAATGCATTTAAAACTTTGTATAGGTTATGATCCCTTTTCATCAAGGAAAAAAAATCTAAATATATGTATATCTTTGCATGGAAAAATATTGGAAGGATACATAGCCCGCTGTTCATGGGTTAGCTCTTGCTGGGGACTGAAAAGTTAACTTTTATATATTTCTTTCAAATTTTCTGTTTATTTCTAAACTGTCTGAAATGAACATGCACCCTTTTTCCAATAAGGAGAACCTTTTTTATTAAAATAAATTTCAACATTGAAGGCTAGGTGGTTCCCTTCTAAGAGATGGAAGGAGAGAGGGAAGAGGCGGAGGAGTGAACTTGCAGGTTCTGCCTGCCTGGGTGGGAGCTGGTCCCGGGCGGGGCGGGGCCAGAAGGAGGGAGGGCAGGCGTTCTTTCTGGAGGAGGGGAGGTGTCCTGGTGGGGGCTCCCTCGTTGTCGGGGGTGAGCGGGGACATGCCTGGTGTGGGGGCCTGGGCCTCATGGCTTGGACGGGGATTCGGCCTGCAGACAGGGAGCCTTCGGGGCCTGGGGATCCCCGAGCGCCACCGCCCTCCTGGGCCCTGCCGGCCCCTTCCTGCCTGAGTGGCGGAGCCAGGAGTGAGCCTGGGGGTCCCCCTGGGGGCGGGAGGCAATGGAGGCTCCGCCAGGGTGTGCCCGGGCCCCTGCGTGACAGATGGCGGCTGAGAGGCCGACGGAGGTCCTGCTCCCACCTCGGAGTCGTCGCCCCGGCTGGCGTCCTGCAGCCGCGACCCCGCGGGGGGAGGCGAGGGTCTGTACCTCTCGGGGCTTCCCCCCACCCGCGGCCTTGCGGCGCGGGGGCTGCTGGCAGGGCTCTTCGTGGATGGTGGGCGCCAGGGTCCCCGCCTGGAAAGAGCGCCTGGGTTGGGCGGGCCAGGAAGGGGAAGAGATTCTAAGCTACGGACGGGCAGTGAGAAGTGACGGGCAGCGGCCGAGGGACTGCCCTGAACCGGGAGAGAGTCATAAATGTCTCGGACACACCGGGATGCGCTGCCATTCAGAGGGTGACGTCCGCATCCACGTGGCGGTGCCCTCAGTGCTGGGTCCCCTCGGCGAGTGGGACGCCGCCGCCGCCAGGGAGGGGGGACGCACAGGCGCGAGCAGGCGGACCCGCGCTCCCTGGGGGACAGCCGCCCTCGGCCGCCCTTGGCGCAGGACCGGGCCTGGCATCTCGCAGACATCGCCGCTCCCTCCCGGTGGCTGACTGCGGTTCAGGCAGACACGCAAGCCCAGGATCCAGGCTGCCGGGAGCCAGCCTCCGCTTCCCCGTGTTCGCGTCAGGCTCCTAACACAGGAGCGCCCGCCCCCGGAGCTGTCCCCTTAGAAAAGTAGTCTTCCAACCTAGGAATTAATGTGTTTGTATGATTAATAGAAATTGATCCATCAGTATGCAATGTGAGGGGAAACCCAAACAAAAACAACTTTATTTGCCAGTATTTTAAAACACTGCTGATGAGTATTTTGTGCTTATAATATGAGCTGTCAAAACAGCACGCTCACGCTTTTCTTCAGCAGTGGAAAAGGAGCCCAAGATTCCAGGGAGTAATTTTTCTCTCTCTCGAGGTCTCCAGCGTTATTGTAATTATTTATCCCCACCATTGTGTGTGAGTAGAAGCATTTCTCAATGTAAATTAATGACTGAAGTGTGGAACAGGCGTATGATTTTCAATGACTGTACTATTCTTCTTTCATTGGTTTGTTTTTTAAAGTTCTAGACTTCTTAATTTTTTAAGAAATGATACATTTATATGGTTCAAAAACCAAAGCATGAGAGGGAGGGCATGGAAACTGTCCTGTCTACCTCGGCCTCCCATTCACTCGCTTTTGAACCCACCATGGTGCCCGAGAGGCGATTCCTGTTGGTAGCTTCCTGTGGTGTGGCTCTCTGGGGTTCAGTGCGCGTACCCAGTCTCATTCTGTCCGTGTTGGGGGGGGGCGGGGAGGATTTGTTTGTGATATTCTTGGCGGTCCTTCCGTGTTAGTACATAAAGCGCTTTAGCTCCTGCAGGGTTGCGCCTCCGGTTAAACTGTCGCCACTTTGTGCCCAGGCAGATCCGCCTGTCGGGTGAGTTCCTACCGAACGCACAAGCCGGCTCCGCCTTGCCCCTCAGGTCACCCAGCCTCCCGAGCGTGGGAGGCCGCTTCCTCTGTGCGGGGCACAGTGGCCACCTGAATATCGGCAGCTGTCCAGGCCGCAGTGCCGTCCAGTAAAGCCAGGTCCGCCCACCTGCCCCGTCCAGCCCTCCTGGAGGCAGGGAGCCGCCCCGCCCCGGGCGCAGCGGAGAGGAAAGACCGTCCTGTGAGACGGGGAGGGAGGCTGCTGTCGTCCGGGTCAGGGGTTGCCCCTGAGCGTGAGCCCCGAGCCCGGAGCCCTGTCTGACTGTGGTGTACGGGCAGGGGGCGCACTGGGACCCCATCCCGAGGCCAGGGGCTGTCCCTCCGCATCCTTTTTCATTTGTGACACTACCATGGAACTCCATTGGAGGGCGCTGTCTCTTCCACTTAGGCACCTGAGAAAGATGAAACTGTAGGGCCTGCCTTTGTGGTGCTTCCCGCCCGACTCGGACCGGTGGGTGGACGACTCTTCCCCGCCGCCGGCCCTGTGCACCCAGAATCCCCAGCTCCTGTAGCGGAGCGCCCAGGCCCACCTGGGCTCCCACCTGTCACGTTCGCCCAAAGAGACGTGATCCCCGTCTCCTGCCAGGGGCTGCGGGCTTGGCACTCCCGCAGACGGGCTGGGAGTGTCCCGGGAGCGGCCCGCGTGCGGGAGCGGAAGTGCTGGGCGCGGGGCTCGCACAGGTGGAGGCAGCAGCCTGGGATTTGAGGACCAGCCAGGACGCCCCTGGGCAGAGGGGCAGGACCCGCACCTTTGCGCCTTTGAGGGGATGGCGGTAACTGCCGGGGGTGCTGTGAAGTCCACGGGAGCCCCTGCTCTGCGCAGCCGGCTTAGGGAAAAGGATCCAACCTGCGCACCGTCTCCCTCCGCCGCGGCCCGGCCCCTGTGCCGAGCATAGCATAGCCGTAGGGGGCGCTCCTGTTGGGGCGGGGGCACAGAAAGGCTTTTGGACACCCCTGCAACCATCTCACGTAGCTTTATGGGGTAAGGAAAGCGCCATCCGTATGTTCTTGGGGAAAGAAAAGAAAGGAGCAGGACTTTAAAGTGGGGGGTGGCCCTCAGGAGCACTCCCCCACCCACCCCGTGTGTGCTCTGAAAGCTGCAGCCCAGGAAAGAAAAGCAATGAATCATTTATGGTTGTTTTCATTTTGCATTCATTAAAGGTCCCTGCACTGTTATCAGTGAACCTTAATTGGCTTGGCGCTGGCTGGGCTCTGCCGCTCTCAGCCCCTGCCCCTCCCTTTGCCATCAGAAATTCCTGGAGCGTGAGCGAGCACCGTGCCTGGGAACGGGGCTGCCGGGCGAGGATCCCGCGAAGATCAGATGGAATGCGGGGGCTTTGCCGCCACCTCTCCCATCACAAATTCATCAGTGTGTCTCCCTGGGCTGTGGCCGGCTCCGCGGCACCACCCTGAGCTGCCCGCGTCTCTTAGTCCTCTGCTTTCTCAGCCGCTCAGGAACTTTCCCATTAGCTCCCCCTCTCTGAGCCCCACAATGGCAGCAACTTCATGGCTCGCAGAGCACGTCCTTTGTTCCCAGTGCCGCACTGGGCACCAAACCAGCCACAATACGCAGGTTACCTGATTTACTTCTTTTAATACACTTCAGTGTAATTATAACTGCATGAAAGAGAGGACAAATTGGCAAGTAATTGCAATGTTAATTTGGCAATGTTTTATCATATTGTGGAAGCGCAATTTCCTCCCTAATTGTGGGGGGGGGCTGCACATTTGTCCACAGTGCAGCTTGCTTACTGAGGGACACTTGAGCAGGGAAATGAAACACACAGGAGGCGGGAGCCCGCTCTCCTCCCTGTAAATACTCCTTTATTTGTACGTGTTTTGCAACCTCCTTAAAAGCTCACCCGTTCGCTCAGGCCTAATTAACGGGATGCTCCGGAATGCGCAACGGGGCTGCCGGAACAGCGCCAGCCGGACGGTGGCTTTGGGTTTAGGCACTGGAGGGACCCCCGACTGAAAGGGCTGCCTGCTGCTTTTCAGAATCTCACCGGCTGTGCGTGCCTCACAACTGGGCCACCCGAGAACGCGACCGTGGTTCCCGGAAAATGCCCCAGCCCCGGGTGCCAAGAGGCCTTCCTCACCTTCCTGTGCGTGATGTGTGTCTGCAGCATGATCGGGGCGATGGCGCAGACGCCCTCGGTCATCATCCTCATCAGGTAAGCTTACCAGGGCCCCCGGGGCCAGCCTCCCGGCCCCCCCCCCCCCCCGCCCCCGGTGAGCGGCGGCAGGTCCCCTGGAGATCAGAACCTTGGGCTGATGCGTAGACTCGCCCTTGGAGCCAGCTCCCCTGTAGGCCCGCGGGAATCCGTGACATCAGGCGCCGCACCAACAGCAGAAAGCAGGGCCCGAGGGAGGAGCGCGCCAGGTAGCGCCCTCCCGAGAATAGGTTCTGCCGGCGATCTTGAGGGACTGTGGGCCTGTGTTGGTTTTTGCGCGTGATTGGAGCCAGATGAAGATGGCGTTGGGCTAGCCGAGTCCCCGAGGCCGGCCCCCACCTGGCCACCGAGTGGGCACGCTTCTCAGACCTGCTTTGAATCTGGGCCTGGGGGGGTGGTGCCAGCGCCGTAGAGATACGAGGGCCCTCAAGGAGGGCGTGACGCTGTGCCGAGTGGCCCGTGGAGGTGCGCGGTGACTGTCCTTGTACAAACAGATGGTCGGGGAGAGCCACCCCTCGTTCTGTGGTTCCCTCTCTCAGGGCCTGTCCTGGGCCCAGGGAGGCGCCCCAAATGTGAAGCGTTGAGTAATATCCTGAGTCGCTGGCACGTTTGATTAGTGTGAGGGGCCTAGACGCGGAACGCGTGGAGCCCCGGCATCCCTCCGACCCAGAAGTGGCACGAGACACACAGCCCCTCCCCGGGTGCAGCCACCTGAACACACCCATTCAACCCCGAGGGCCAGGACCGAAGCGCGTGCAGGCGACCGGCGCACGTGTGCGCCCCCAGCTGCTGCAGCCAGCGTCTGCCCTTCTCGCTGTGCCACACAGTCCCTGGTGCCCCTCGTGAACTCTGGGGGGAGAGGGCTGAGAGGAAGCGCGGAGTGGTGTCTAGAAGGCCATTAGCAAGGCCTTGTTAGTGTGCAGGGGCGCCACGGGTACAGGAGCAAAGTGCCATCGAACCCTTACGGAATGTGAAAGGGGTATTTTAAAAATTCACACCCAGTGTTTGAAAGGCTGTAGCAGAACTGGCAAAACCACATGCAGCTGGTGGCATTGAAGAGCATGTCGCTCCTTTCGAAACAGCAATAGGGCATTGTGAATCAAAAGTCATAAAAATGTTCGGGGTTTTTTATGCAGTAATCCTGACTTTTGCTGCTTATCTTAAGAAAATACATCTCTACGAGAAAAAAAGCTCAATGCAGACAGATTTTTATTACAATGTTAAGTATAATAGCAGAACAGCCTGAATTGGAGTTAAATTATAGTACCACTGTTGAATGGAATAATGAAAATTCTTAAGAATGTGAGAAGTGTTTATGAAGTGAACTTTTGAATTTAAATTGTATATGGTGGGTGATTCTTTGTCACGTGTATGTGGACAAAACCCATCAGATCTCAGGTATGGGTTTGGGGTGGCTGCATTTCCAGTCATTTATTTTTTGTTATTAGAAATTCCCATGAAGTTCTCTTGGGCTAATCACACAGAAAAGCCACCAAGAAGCAGGAAAAATGACCCTCACCATTAGCAGTGACTGGTCCCCTTTCCTTCCCTATGACCCCTCTGCAAAACCCAGCCCAGTTGTGGTGACAGGCAAACCACACACACAGGAAGTCGGCTGAAGGCTTCCCCCCTCACGTCTCAGCCTGGCGAGCGCCCTTAGACACCCAGGCAGTGCTCGCTGCCGTTTCAGTGGTCCGGTCTCGCCGACCCGGCTGCGCCTCGCTGACCTCGTGGCTCCGAGCTCTGCTGGGGCCCGTGGGGGGCACAGGTCACGCAGGCCTGTGTTGGGGGGGGGTGCGCCTTATTTCGCCGCCCCCACAGCCAACTCTGCCATCACAGGCGCTCCGGGCAGACACGGCACAGCCTGAGCTGCTCCCAGACGTGTGCAGCCCTCTGCCCCGTCCCAGAGCAGTGGGCCCACTGCCGCGCCAGACAGGAGCTCGCCTGGCGTCCAGAGCGCTCAGGACGCCCCAGCAGGGAGGCCGCTGGCACCGCCGAGCCTCACGGGCCAGCGCCAGGCTCTCATTTTAATTTCTGCGTGCACACCTTTAGTAGCGCCCCCTCTAACAGACGGGGATACGGAGGCTCCGAGGGTGGTTCCCAATATCTGAGAGGCCTCTCCCCTAGCAAGGCGGGCAGCCTCGGCTGGGTCCCTGGCCTTGCCAGGAACTTTGAATGACAGACCTGATGCCGCCATTTCTGCGTAACTGTATCCGAGGACCACCCCTCCTGTGGGAGCCAGCCCCTCAGAGGATGGAGGGGGACCCCAGCTCCTTGCTTACCTTCCTGCTGGTGATGTGACAGCTCGAAGGGAATCGGGTTTCAGGCGATAAACATTCTGGCTCATTATGCCAGCATGTCATCTGGACAAGGAGACTTTTCCTTTGTCTTTCAGTCAGTCCTTTCAAATGAATGTGCAAAAAAAAATGAACCGTGGAGCCAGTAAGTTTGAAGACCTTGGGTTTTATACCATGCACATTCCAGAGAGAACCGACGGTGGCCTCGCTGATACAGTGCCGGCGCCCCCTTCCTCAGCCCGAGCGGCGCCCCCAGGCACCGTGGCACTCGGAGGGTTTCAGGACACATGTGAGGCGCTCATTGTAAGGGCCTGTCTGGGTGACCCGAAGCCATGGGCGTGGAGTCCATTCAAACCACGGAACTGGGCCGTGTGAAGGTGCACCCGGCGGGAGAGGACCTGGGCCTGCGTGGGGACGGGTCCCACTGCCAGCGGCCCCTCCAGGGTGTCGGACCACGCCGCTCTGGTTGACCTCTCCAGATGCCCCGGGAACGACAGGGGTGTTTGTGGCGCTGGCCCGTTGGTGAGCCACATGGGGGTGGTCTTCCCAGGTTTCTCACATTGGTGGGACCTGTTAACCTAAGATGCATCCCTGTCCTGGCAAAAACAAGGTGTCTTTAAATGAAGATGTTACGGCCAAATTTACATTCTGTCCTTCGAATGACAAGGTGAGCTCTAGTTATTAAAAACTTACCTTGTCACTACAGTTACCATTATTTTTCAGGCTTGAGGCAGGGAAAGCAGGAGGAAAAAACTATTGCTAATTCTCTGATGCAGGGTAGCGAGCGGCCCCGGGCCTGTTAATTAAAGTGGAGTGGTAAGACTCTCTCTCTCTCCTTCTTTTCTTTGCACATAGGACAGTCAGCCCTGAACTCAAGTCTTACGCCCTGGGAGTTCTTTTTCTGCTCCTTCGTTTGTTAGGTACGTATCATCTCTTTACTTCCTCAATAATGAATTGGATGCTAATGACCAGGTGAGTGAATCAGCGATATCGTTACATTTCTTGAGTTTGTCTTTTTCTGTATATTCTATTGAATTACAGAAACTTTAGAAATCTTGAAATGTGTAAATTTTGCTTAGGGTTTAGACCTAAACTCAGGCACTTGCTAGACATGGCAGTTTTCATTTCTATCAACTCTGCCAGGCCACTCTGGATTAATTCTCCTGGGCACAAGGAGAAAAAGTGAAGGCACCAAAGGGAAGACGGTCTGATGGTCTCATTCGGCCCCTTCAGGAGTTACAGGGCAGTGGGCACTCTTTACTGCACGTGAGATGGTAAATACACACGAAAAGGGAAAATGGCCCAAGCGTGTGTTTTCAGAGTGAAAATACTCATTACTCAAAATATGTAGCCACAGCCCTGGCTGGCGCGGCTCAGTGGATTCAGTTCTGGCCTGTGAACTGAAGGGTCGCCGGTTCGATTCCCAGTCAGGGCACGTGCCTGGGCTGCAGGCCAGGTCTCCAGGACGGGGCGCGGGAGACACAACCTCACATTGATGGTTCTCTTCCTCTCTGCCCCTCTTAACAAAATAATAAACTCTTAAAAAATAGCCACAGATGAGCACAAAGGATGAACTATGGAAATGTTTATAGAAACATTTCTGTAAACGGGGAAAAAACGCTATAATCAATGTCCAAAAACAGGGAATCAGTTAAATCCATTGTAAACTATCTGTATAACCCCAGTAAATTTGTTCCTCTTTACAATTCTGGAATGCCAAATACTTACACAATTGTAAAGGGCACGTGAACATCGTGGCGGGGAAGAGGTGTATGAAATGCTACATATGCAAATGTTTTTAATGTGTATATAAATGGGGGAAATATTGAAAAACTACACATGAAAATGGTATTGGTTGTTATATTTGAGTAGTAAGGTTAACAGAATCTCAGTTTTAAATTTGAATGAATGTATGTGCTTATTATTTCATGAGATGAATTCCTACATAATTGCTATATGGAAGAAAATATTCCGCCCTTGGATCCATGAGTAAAAGTAGATCCTCCCGGGGGCATGGCAAACGACTTCCAATCACTGATCATTCCTGTTACACCCAGGATGCTTAAATGACATATCCAACTTAGTGCTATCTCATGGGAAATAGAAATGTTCAAGGAGTGACAATAGCCAGTTCAGACTAGTTCAGCAGTAATTTAAACGAACACATCTTGGCCACCTGGACAGTGTAGTGGCTGTTGAAAATGAGCCCACAGTAGTAATTACGCCGACTTTTCTCATCATTGGCAAGGTAAGATGTGTGTGGGTTATGATGTCCCCTCCCCACCTTCACCCTGGTTTGGGCTGATGGACAGATGAATGTGTACTACCTAGTAGCAAGTAGAAGACCCTTATTTATGAAAAAGATGAGAACATTCCATGAAACAGTCATTCCACAAATACACCTTTATTCAGCACTGAGGGTGTTGAGTGCTTCACAAACCAGGCCCCGGCGAGCGGCACAGCCCCGCTCCTGGGCGCCCTCTTGCCTGCCGACTCGGGTCTCATGCGGTCCCGCAGGTGCAGGGTTCATGCAGAAACCTCTACGCATCTGACAACAGGAAAAATAGTTTTAGCATTCACAGTAACACTGATACAACAAAATGAAAAAATTTGCAAGACATTACTTAAAACTGAAAATTTTAAGACATTGAAAATTATAGAGCATGTGTAAGATGACACTGTTAAGATCATTGTGTATTGCCTTAAAATTTCATTATTTCTAGGTCTGTGCCAAGAAACCCCCCGTTCATTCTCTGCAGTCATACCTTGCAACTTCTGTTCCTAAGACACGCAGCAAGAGAGGAGCTTGGCCACTATGGTCAACAAGAGCAGGAGGCAGGGACAGAAGGACCCGGACTAGCCTAGAAAACCAGTGTGTGGTCGGTAGGAAGGCGGCCTCCCCTGGAGCCGCCAGCAGAGCCCCACGAGACGCCTGTCGGCTGGACCGGACAGGAGCACGAGGGGCAGGGCTGGCTGTGGGGCCCCCAGCGGAGCCGTGTCAGAGCAGCGGCTCAGTCTGACCCACAGGCCGCAGCGCATGGTGTGCGCAGGTCCCTCCCTCAGGAAGGAGACCCATCTCAGAAAGGAAGCCGCCTGCGCCGGTGGCAGAGTCCAGGGGAAGGGAGGCTGTCAGTGTGCGCGCTGGGTTTTTCTTCTTTCTCAGGCTCTCAGTGATGATCATGGCAGCATCTGTCATTTGTTTCATGCTCAGTTTAGCGTGTTCCAGGCGGTGATCCAAGTGCTGCTCACACATCCCTTGCCTCACTTTCCCGCAGCCTGAGAAAGAGCGACATGGTTACCCCCTCGGTGCTGGTGAGGAAACCAAGGCAGAGAGGGCTTGTGCAGGAGGCAGAGGGCAGAGGCAGGGTTCCCACGCAGGTGTCGCCGCCCAGCAGGGCCCTTTCACCGGCGTGTCGCAGCTCGCGTGCCTGTGACACTGTCCCCCTGGACATCACGCCGGCCGTCAGAGCCGGACACCAAGCGCTCTTTCCCCCGACAGGCTTCATCCCTCCCCCGCTCATCTTCGGGGCCGGCATCGACTCCACCTGCCTGTTCTGGAGCACGTTCTGCGGGGAGCAGGGCGCCTGCGTCCTGTACGACAACGTGGCCTACCGGTACCTGTACGTCAGCATCGCCATCGCCCTCAAGTCCTTCGCCTTCATCCTCTACACCACCACGTGGCAGTGCCTGCGGAAAAACTATAAACGATACATCAAAAACCACGAGGGCGGGCTGAGCACCAGTGAGTTCTTTGCCTCTACTCTGACCCTAGACAATCCGGGGAGGGACCCTGTGCCCGCAAACCAGACGCATAGGACAAAGTTTATCTATAACCTTGAAGACCACGAGTGGTGCGAAAACATGGAGTCTGTTTTATAGTGACTCAAGGGGGGCTGGACTCTGCCGAGCAAGCAAAGGGTCATTTTTCCTACAAAAAGAAAAAAGGCTTCCAAAAAACAGCTCAGTGTACACACACACACACACACGCGCACGCACACACGCACACACACACCCTACCACCACCTTTGTCCTTTTTCTCCAAATCAGAGCCAGACGGGACTCAGAATGAGAGCGGGGACCATGTGTCTGACGTGTGACCTGCCGGGGCTCAGGGCCTGCTCTTTGATGCCACCGCGTGGTGTCTCAGGACGCTGACAGCTGCAAGCAACAGGCACTGCCAAATTCAGGGAACAGTGGTGGCCAGCTCGGAGGACACACCTCTGCAGATACACACAGCATACAAAACAAAACACTTTTCAGAGCAAGTCTACTAAAATACACAAGGTGACCGCATTGCCAGGATCAGCACTAGTGACGCTCCCTGTGACAGCACCCCCCCGCCCCGGGGGGTGGGGAGGTGCCCAGGCCGGAGGCGTGGAAGCCCCTGTTCCCCGACTTCCGCAACGCGGGCCCCTGCGCAGACGCCCCAGCCGTCTGCACGCGGTTCCTGGCCCCCGACTTCACTCGGTGACGCGCACGGTGGTCCGTGCCGGAGTCTGGTGGGCGCCTCTCACCAGCTCCATTGCCGTGTTCAAGACCGAGGGCCCGAGGGGCGCCGGGCAGGGGGGGCCGGCACCTCCCCTTCCCCTGAAGCACCTCCCAGCGGTGGGCGCCCACCTCCCCCGCCCCGCAGAGCGACCTCAGGAAGCAGTGGGCCTCGCCTGGCAATGACTGACTTCACTCAGAGCCGGTGAAACCCAACACAGTCCAAGTCATTTGCCTACATTTGCCAAACATTTTGCCATTTTTTAAAAAATAATTCAATGCATATGAATTTCAAACTGTTACATGTATAAACCTCTCATACTATTTTTAACTACTTCTGAAATCTGTGTTAACCCTTCAGTCACTAACACAGTTCTCTAAACCGAATTTACTATGCTGATTGCTTTTACTTTCTTCCTTTTTTAATGCACCAAAATATAATGTGATTCAAGGGATGAAATTAATCTATTGTAATTTTTTTTTATCATTTTATCTTCATTCGGATATTCTTCGAACAGAATATACAATGTGTCGCATGTAGGAAAAAAATACTTGGAAAGAAGTGTATGTACAGCCTGCCTTTTAAAAGCCCCACCTTTGAGACAGAGGGCCGGGAGCAGGAGGAGCTGCAAATCTGCCCCCAGCCCTCCTCCCCAGGACCCGGTGACGCGGTCACAGGGGACCTTTTCTCCTCACCTTTCAAGTCTGGGGGCCTTTCTTGGCCGTGAGCAGAGGCGCTGCGCTTGGGCGGGGGTGTGACTGGCGCAGTGCCTCTGGGGAGGGGACACAGCCTGGGGCTCCGTGGCAGCGGCCTGCTGAGTGGCCTGCGGTGTGTGTGGTGGCGAACGGACCGACGCACAGGCTCCGGGAAGCGGCGGCGCGTGCAGTGCGTGAGGGTCCGTGAGGGTCCATGAGGCTGCCAGGGTTAATCTTGGACTGAGACACATGTGTGGCGGGGGGTGGGGGGGAGTGACGCAACCTCAAACAGCGCAAGCCTGTCACTGTCTGAGGGGAGAACGATGGGCAACACCTCTTGAGCCAGCAGGCCTGGGCTGCCGAGGCCCTTTCCAGAAGGGACGGCCTGTGTGAGCGTGCGCGTGGGCACGCACGGCGCGTTTACTTACCTGCCGTGCTTCCTCGGCGGCCTCTGTCCAGGCTGGCCACGACCCTGGGAAGGACCTCAAGCGCTGGTCGGTTGGTCGCGTTGCTTTTCTGCCTCAGGTACCTAGCTGCAGTCAGTGGGAGGGCAAGAAAAAAGGATGAAGAAAAAGGAGAATCAGGGAGAAAGAGTGTTGTGCCAAATTTTTAACAAGCGCTGTAAAAAGGGAGGGTTGAGTGACAGCCCCGAGTACAGACCATGCCCCGAGAAGGACAAGGCTGGTACCGTGGTGCCAGGCCACCGGGATCGGCTGCCTGGGACAGGGTGCTCCCGAGACAGCCCTTTCCTCGCTCTAGTTGTAGCCTGTTCTTGTTCACGAAAAACGGTCAATACGTTAACTAGTAAAGAGCGGGCTTGCTCTCCAGCTAACTCGTAAGGCACGTACGCTGTCACCCCTGAGGCTCCAGCCCCACTCGGTGCTTCATGGGGCTGCTTGCTGTTAAAAACACTTAGACTCCTTGCATTCTTTCCCCCCTAAGATTTTTAGATGAATGACAGATGTTGGGACAACAAACGAAACCTCCAGGGCTCAGTATTATCAACGACGGGGCAGGAAGGCAAAGCCTCGGGGGCAGGAAGGCTCTGAAGTGTGCTGCGTCACCTTTTAAAATGGTCACTTCTCTCGCATACCACAGAGCAGAAAACTTAGTGTAGTTTTAATTTTTCTTTTTGTGCTACAAAGAACCATTGTACATACAATGGCAGGTCCAGCTCCTTGGTTACTTGTTTGGTGCTGAGTGGTATTTTGAATAAAAAGATTTCCTGGTAAGATCTCCACTGGACTTACTGGAAACGGAAACCTGAGGGACAGAGGCAGCCACACAAGGGAGTGATGAGGCCTCTCTCCGCTGCGACCTCCTCCCACATCTTAGCTGAGCCAGCCCAGGGATGGATGAAAAAGTCTCTCTCTGCTACAACTTTTGACAGATTTTTGTAACTCCTGACTGTAGATGGTGAAGTTTTTTTACGAATGTGATTCATGCAGACGAAGTAAATGTATTTTGTGAGAGTCTCTCTCAGGAGGACGTGGTTTGCTGTCTTCCTTCAGCCCAGGCCGTGGGCTTGTCGGGAAAGACAGGCAGCTTCGCTCCCTGCCTCTCGCCTCTCACGGGAAGGTGGGGAAGCACCTGGGCACCCTGCCGCCCCACCAGGAGGCCACAGCAGCGGGCTTCCCTCCCAGCTAATGAAGGCGCAGGGGAGGCCTCCTTTCACGGCCCCCTAAGGAGACTGCTCGTGGTGCTGAACACAGAATAATAAGGGAAAACCAAAGGCTTCTAAGGAATCCTGTAACAGACTTCCTGCCGTGTTCGGAGCAGGAAGGAAGAAATGCGCTTCTCCATAAAAAGCACTTGTTTCTCACCCCCTTATAGGGCAATAGCTTCCTCTAAGGGTGGTTTTGAGGTTTGGTCGGGTGGCATGCCACACGCTCAAACCCCTGGCTCCACCTCCCTGTCCCCAGCAATGCGCCAGAGCCCCTCACTCAGGCACAGCCAGACCTCCCACCGACCACGGCCTGGGGTGACAGCCACGCCACCCTGAGGAACTGGGGCGGGACGACTTGGCCGCGGTCGCTAATGGCTTCCTGTGCGGCGTCCCAGAGCAGGCCTCGGCTGCGCGCAGCAGCAGAGGTCCTCGTGCGGAAGCCAGGGCAGCTGACTGTGAAGTCCAGGGCTGAGGGAGGGAGACGGGACCAGTGGTCCCAGTGCAGGGGCATCACACTCTGTTTTACTGCCGTTTCTGTACTTGGTCTAGTTTGGTGGAGATGAGGGGAGAGAACCAAGCAAGCCTCGTTTCAGTCCAACAGAGAACACCTGCTGTCTTGTGCCAAAAGAACATACCAGACACCCGGTAGGGTCTCCCCTCAACCACGACCTCCCTTATGCTCTGGGTTAGGATCCAGGTCAGATACCTAAGGGGCGCCATTTTCTGAGGGAGAGTGCCACCAACATGAAATTCGATGTAGGAAATTAGTTTGGGAGATAAATATTGTCCATATCTTCCTCGCTCATTATACTCACCTCTCCCTACCAGTACAAAGCCTTGAGTTCGGAACAGCCCCTAGGAGCGGAGTCATCTCCTAGCGCAGCTGGCCCCAAGTGAAGCTTTTGGTCCCAGCCCCTGGACACCTGTGGAGCAAAAGTGTCCTCTGGTGGAACAGGCAAAGACGACTCCCGTTCACGCACCTGTGGCTCAGCACCACCCGGGCACCCGCGGTCCGCACACAGCGGCCCCCGCACACCCCTTCCTCACGCAGGCAGGCGGCCTCCGCGCCCTCGGGCCCCGCAGCGGGCAGGGCAAGTGAAAAAGCCTAGCACAGAAATTCAGAAAAGCCAAGACTGCCCCCCGCCCCCGTACCTCAGAAACCTGGGACCCCGTGGAGACAGGGACAGGACGCACGCGCCTCGGGGCATCCACGCGGCAGCACCTGCCCGGGGCTAGCGTCGTCGGGGCCGCCCTGTGGCCCCCATTTTCAAAGCATGTGTGTATTCATTCCTTTGTGAAAGTGGGGCTACGTGCCAGGCCCTGGACCAGATACAAAGGCTAAAAAATAATAGAACCACGGTCCTGCCCCCTAGGAAGTCACAGTTCAATGAGCCAGACAGACCTGGACACAAACAAAAGCAACAGAATAACAACAAAGAGCCCCGCCTGAGTGTCCATCGGGGTGCGAGAAGGGCCGATTCACGGCGGTGCTGGGGGCGGGCTCCTGACCCGGAGGCCCGCAGAGGGGCGGGGCGGGGCCGGGAGGACAGTGCGCGGGAGGCTGCCTGGTGGTGCCGCCTGAGCAGGTTTACAAACAAGGACGGGGCCTAGACATTTTAGGCTCTGAGGGCCGCTTTGTAACGAGAAGGCGACAGTGGCCTCAGGCAAGGCACGAACAAGTGGTAGCTGTACCTGCAGAGGCGAGGGCTGGGTTCGGCCGGGGGCCCACTGGGCTGGTCTCCGCTCTGAGCGCGGCCCAGGCCACACGTCGGAAGTGTCCTTTAGCTAGGTGACCATCGACTCTGATACTCCTGCCCATTCCGGGAATCCAGTTCAGGTATCCCACGTTCCAAGAATGATGTATGTGGCTCATTCTTGTCAGGGTCCAGTGGTAAGAATGGCATGGAAGGGAAGACGTAGAAATAGGAGAAAGAGGAGTGGATGCAGGTCCTGGAGAGTATTCCCCCCGCCTTCCCATCAGCACAAAAATGGCACAATAAAACTGATAGACACATGCCAGGCAGAGTAAGTGGTAAACACTAATAAAAACTAATAATAATAGTTGCTAACATTTTTCAAGCACTTACTATGAGCCAGCTTATTACCTGTGTTAACTCATTTCATCTCAGTGGCCCCATGAGTCAGGAACTGTTACAATCTTCACTTTGTAAGAGACGAACACGAGGCTTGAAAAGCTTCCAGAATTGGCCCAAGGTCACAAGCACAGTGGGGATTCAAAAGCCAGCTCTGAGCCCAAAGCCCGCACGCCTGGTGCCACGGGCACACACGCCCTACTCGGCAAGACGGCGGGACCCTCCCCACCTCCAGGGACTGACCAACCAGGAAAACTGGCTCGAATGGGCTGTGGGGCCCCGCACACCCTCCCGGCCCCGGGGCGACAGTCGGGGCCCAGCGGC